AAAATCACAGAGAGTTGATGCTGAGCAGCCACAGAACATCAGAGGGAACACCGGAAAATATTCAATAATTCTCAATAAAATATGACCCACAAAAAAGCATTTCATTGGACGCAAATTAGTATATGCCCTAGTGCAGGATGAATCATCAACAACTTTTTTTAGCGTTTTTTAGTAATTAGCAAACTCTAAAATACCATCAAGAATACCCAAAAAGGGCGCCCGGTTAGCTCAGTAGTAGAGCTGGTGACCCATATACGGAGTTGCTGCAGCGGCCTGGGTTTGTATCTTACCTGCAGCCCTTTGCTGTGTGTCATCCCCTCTCTCTCTCTACCCACCTTCCCTGTCTATCTTTGGCTGTCCCTATCTAATAAAGGCATGAAAAGGCAAAAAAAATAACATAAAAAAAAAAAAAAAAGAATACCCAGAAATTTTGTAATTGTTGGGCCTGAAACTGGCGTATAGGTTGCATATAGTGTTAGACATATGTGATGAAAACACTTAAACATAATTTTGTCTTCATGGGGACTTAAACTGCGTACTTCTTTGACCTCTGCCTATGACATTCAGTAACAAGTATGGCTTTAAAAACATCCAGTACATAGTAGCATGCAGTAAAAAGCTTCCATAGAGACTCAAAATGAATTCTTGGTCTGCAGCCAGCACAGGCCCCAGCCCCTGTGTTCCTCCTTCCTCTCATTTTCATGCCCTTACATTGTCTGACTGCACCTGTAGAAACAGTGTGCCAGCTAGCCAAATAATTACACTCCTGCTTTCTCCCACCGTACTAGAGCTGACAGGACTGCTTTAACACTTTCTCTGCCCTTTCACCCCAATAGTCAAGAGTCTTGTTTCACTCCACTTGTGGATCAAGTGGTGAGAAGGCCAGGGCGTGTATGTTCTTGCACTGCCAGAGCCATTGTGCTGTACCACAAAAGGAAGATGGAGACTGTTTTGTAGGTTTATGAAAAAGAATTCTGGGTTATGTGAATTTAAAAAAAACAATCAGAATCGTCAAGGCCCTAACTCTTAATTGTATAGTCCAACTGTGCTCTTGGTAATTATACTTACAGTTTTGTTTTTATCAAGTCAGTTTGAGTAAAATGCTGCTTTGCCTAGACAATTATGTCAACATGCTGTTCCCAGAGACTGATTTTCCACGCCTTAAAACACCATAGCAACACAATCTGCCTTAGCACGATCACTCTAAACCCATTAAACTGCAGTTGCTTATCATGCATGGTTCATTTGTATGCATACATCCCATTAATGCATCTTTGCATTGAAGCGATCATGATAACCACTGAGGGTAGGGGAAAACAGAAGTGTGGAAAAACTTGCATTTAGAGGGAAAGCGGGAATTAACTATGGCTATAATAGGAAAGAGAGGGACAAAGGACATCGGCTATCATAATGTGATATGTGTAACTTGCTATATGATGCAGGACTTTCTCACCATCTGATGACCCTTTAGCAATCAAGCATCCATATGTATTTTAGGAGATAGTCTCTGGGAACAGAGGAAATAGTGAAATGAAATGAAAATAAATCATTATTCAAGCATAATGATGTTCATGTGTTGGGATAAGTAAATGTTTAGTTCAAGAATGTAATATCTTTATTGAAATGGTTATTAGGTAGTGGCTTCTAATACTCAAGTCCACACTGCAGCTATTGCACACAGTCTTTGTTATGGTATATTTATTGTATTGTTGTAATACATCCTCCACTCATTCCTTCTTTGTATTTCTCTCGTTCGTCATCTCTTTCTCTCCGTCTCTTTCTTTCTGTCATTACCGTGCATTGATTTGAAAGGCTTAATTTCTACAGGGCCATGTGGCTGTCTCAGACTCTTGGTCTCCTCCGATCAATAATGAAAGTGAGAACGCATCAAATGACCCTGAAAAAAAGATGGAGTCAACAAAGCTCAGCTGTTGAAATTAGCCCAGCACAGAACCTTTGGTAATGTTGTTTTCAGCGGCATCCTTGTTAGATTCACAAACCTGCATTAGAGCTGTTACTAAGCTGTTGCTAACTTCTATATAAGTATATATTCTATATGGTGCACAGAATGACATAGAAGTGCTCACAGGTCAATCGTAATATAACCCTCACAATACTAAGTAAATCCATAGGTCTGCAGCATATGTGAAAAGAATATATTGCCTCTTTTTTAAAGTGTTCATTGCAAGGTTGCATCTACAGTATCTGTTTTTATTTTCAAGCCTTAACACCTATATTGGAATGAACACCAGCCATTTAATAAGCATCTCTTCAAGTGTGTTCACAACATAGTTTAAGTCAGGTATAATTGAAAATATGTGGGTGTCTGTCTCTGAGGATGTATCAACTCTCTCATTAAAATAGTTAATAGTTGCCTTAGTGGAAAAAAACCCAAAGAAATCAAATTATATTCAAGATAGTGAGTCTCATCCACAGCACCAAAACTCTCTGTAATGAAGGAAACATTGCTGACTTGCATTCCTTTAGGTTCTCAAGTCTTATAAGACACAAGAGGGGTCTAGAAATTGAATACAGGAAACAGTAGGGATGACCTGTCAGAGATGATATATTGCTCACAACTCCATAATGTGTGGCATCCTTTAGCCCAACAGGATGGAAATCTACAGCCATATTATCTGCCCGGTGAGGCTGTAACACTCGTTACACCACGGAAAACAAAACTGATGGATGGATGAAATAGACAAAAAACTTTTCTGTTCCCACATCCTTACCACTGTCTGGGGTGAAAGTTTGGCCTGATGGTAAATGCAGTTGTACATTTGTGTTGGCACTTGGCAGAGTTTGTTGCTGCTACTTTTTCAATTTAAGTGTGGTATATACATTAGAGGTAATAGACCACTGAGTTCCATGTTACAGGTGACATCAGGTTAGATTAAGCACTGTGCACCGGTGGACAACGCAATGTACTGTGCATTTCACCTCAGCTTAGCATCTTCCAGCTCATTGTTTTGCTTTTCTGGCTCACAAAACCGACCCTCATCAATCTTAATTTTCAGCTGCACCGGGCAGCTGTTTTCAGTGAAAAAACTCACCACCTGCTTACCACCAAAAATACAGACAAAGTTAGCAATTAGCATGGAGCACTTAGCAGTTTAAGAGACAAGGGCAAAGCAAAACAGAGTTAGAAGGAGTATTGAATACTTTAACTTGCTGTAACAACTTTATACATGCTGATTATATGTCACAGCTTGTTTTACTGCCCCTAAGTGGCCAAGAATGAAGTAATGAGCATAAAAGCTTTATGCAGATGTCTTTTTGCTTTTGTCATCCCACAAAATTAAATATAAAGGTTGTGTTTTTTTCTCTTTTTGCGACAAGCACGTCCGTCCTGTAAAAGACGTCTCTCAGATATCTTACAGCTCTGTCAGAAGCAGGCACATGTTGTGTTTTGCTGTGTGCCAGCTACATCATGACGTTTGGAATTAAATGAGGAAGTTACGTCAGCAGCCTTTCTGTAGAAGACAATAAATGTCCATTGATGTGTTGGCCTGACGTCTTTGTGTGTTGTGTTTGCCTTGTGCACCGCAGATACTGAACACACGCTGAACGTGGACCCCTTTTTTAGACCCATTCATTTGGCAGTGGGATTGGTTTTAAATATATTCTTCTGAGAAACCGTAATGAACTTTTGAATTAAAGCTGCTGGAAGTGATGGCATGTTTCATTTAGAAAGATGTTTTTCCTGTGTGCTGCTTGTTTTTAATGATCTAAGAGTGGTTTCAGTGGTGGATGTTTGGGCGTCATCATGGCAACATTGCAGCATGTGTTCAAGCAGCTGCCTATAATGCAGAAAAACACACATACCAACAGAACTGCACCCTCCAGCGGGAATGAAAAAGATGTATTGGTGTAATTCTAAGGTCACAAATTTTGCTGCCGTGGTTATTGATTGTTGGAAGTTACGGCATCGTACCCTCAGAGTGTTTCTCTCACAGATGGTCTGATCCTAATGAACCAGACTAACAAGCCAGATGCCTCCGTGCTGCGCTACATGAGTTCCTATGAGGTTATTTGGAAAGACTCGCATACATTTTTAATTTAATTGGCATGGAGAAGAACCATGAGAGCACGTATCTGATTTAACATCATATTACGGTACATAAGCTGGCATAATGTTTGGTGGGGATACATTATATTAATGGAGAATTCAAGGGGGCTCAAGAGCATGTTGACAAGACATTACATTTCACAAAATATTCTGCGTTGTAGCTGGTGCATGAACAAAAACATGAAGACAAGGAATGGAAATAAGGACAGGACTTCTTGAGGTTTAGATGCTGTCAAGGTATTTCATCTTTTATTATCAGCTAGGACTTCAAAAACATGTAAACTCTTCTTTGTTTGCTCTTGGTTATTGCTTTATTTAGCTTCAGTATATGGGTTTATGACGGACGCAGTGTAAACCATATGCGATCCATTTACAATGTTGTTGTAAAATGAGACGTCCGGAGCATTTTGTCTGTTTGTGTTTTGGCTGGCAGCCTGCGCCTCTTTGCTTGTCTCTTCTTCTCTGTCGGCCTGTCTTTGTCTGTCTTCTCTCCATCTGCCTGCCTCTGTGTGTTTACTTGTAATCTATTTCTACATCACTCCTGAGCAAGTGGCAGCCAAGATATTAAGAAGTCAACATTAAACCACACTGTTATTGGATACATTCATCATTCAAGCTGCAAGACAGCATTTAATATTGCAGCCGAATTGCAGCCCTAACCAGAATTTAATGTTACCACCGTTTGAGATGTCACTAATTGCAATTTTGGAACAGCCACACTGATCTGCTGTATCTTTTGAGGCTGCTCAAAAAGCTCATTAGAATATACATTCTCCTACAGTTAAGAAAGTTTGGCCATTAAAAGTGCACCAGCAGGCATCCATTTTCTTTCTCTCATTTGTTCCACAGGGAGTGTGATGTCCAGTAGAGGGCAGCATAGACAACTGAGAGTGAACAAACGGCAAACTAAATCTCTTCTCCTCTCTTGCAGGGCCAAAGTGTTTCGGGGAAAGAAGGTCCTTGGGGAGTACGACATCAAAGTGGAGCAGGTAAAATAATGATTTTATAAAACCTATGATGCTCAGGCTACTCATGTATAAAAGGTTGAGAGGGATCTGAACAGAGATGAAAGAGAACTGACACCGCATTCACGTTTGATATGGAAATGCATAGGTATTCAGTGACACAGGTGCCCTAGGACATTTTTAATAAAAACAAAAGACTCTTTCAGATAAGATCTACTTTTTTGTTGCTAAAGCAGGTTATAAGTTCCTAGAAAGTTAAAGTGTAAAAGAAGGAAAACGTGTCCCTCTGGTTGCAGAAAATGGGAGGTCATGTTTCTCTGCCTGTGTGTGCTAGAGCAACCCACAGTGTGAATCCTACAGACTTTGTTTATCCCCTTACTTTTCAGGTGTTGCCACCAGCAGGTCAAAGTTTCCACTCATTCAGTGAAATATATCAGCATTGGTACGGACATTCATGGTCCCCAGAGAATGAATTCTAATGACTTCAGTGAACTCCTGATGTTTCCTCCAGCACATTTGTGGTTTGGAGTGAACTATCTTGACAACTACTGGATGATTTATCACTCCACTCTCTGTAAATATTCTAAAACATTAGTGATCCCACAAGTTTTTTATCTAGCACCAACATCAGGTTAACATTTGCTCAACACTTTGGTTTAAGACCAAACACCAAAAAAAATCTAATTATATCTCCCATCAGAATAAACAAATGCTAATGCATGCTAACAAGCTCTACTGAGACGGTGAACTGGTAAATATGACTTGCTAGCAGTGTCGGGCTAGTTGGTCAAAATCTTTAATTTATTCCTCATTTCTCATTATTCTTAAAGTAACATTATTTCTTTACTTATACTCCCTGCCAACAGTAATTAGTTACACTACTTGTTATATAAGTTCTCTGCAACTCCTCACAAAATTGTTAATTCTGTCTTTTCTACCCAAAATTCAGACTTCCGGTGGTTAAAATCCTGTTTTGTTTGAAAACTAGTTTCCTTTCCTTATACAATTCATTATAAAAATGAATCTGAGGATTGTTGTATTTCAAATATGAGGTGACAACAAAAGTAAGGTTGTAACTAATTGTCTTTGGTGGGGGTAGCTGTAATATTATTATTGAAATGTATTAGTAATTAGTTACACTACTAGTTACAGTGCAAAGTATTATTATTATTATTACTAGTAATACCTTACTGCATGCTAAACATCAAAATAATGTTAAGCAGGCACTTGATACTGTGAACTTATGCTAATGCTAGCATGCTAAACTCTTACTGTAGTCTAGTGTTATATAGAAAGATTTGAAAAAAATATCATCTCGGTCATGAATTTGTGTTACAGTGGTTTGCAACCCTGTCTACCAAATAGAAACTGCCAAGTCATTTTCTTAACATTTTGCATTTGTCATCCTCAGTAAAAATTACTTTTTGTGCCGTGTATATTTAACCACGTATAAATGTATAACCACACTTTCAAAACCACCACAGTGCTTCCACTGTAAAACTACACCAGATTCTTGGTATCAAGTTGTAGTGACTGTACATAGTTATTTATTAACAGTATGTGGCATTTTTGTTTCATATTGGTTGAACCAACTAACCAGCAAACTATTTTGCAACACTGCATTTGAAATGACTATTCTTTTGGGTTTCACCCCGAACAGTTTCACACCTAATGTATGTTGACAGTTAAATTACAACCTCAAGCCTCACCACTGAAACGAAAATAGACAGCAGAGGAGACGGGAGTCGTCAGCTATGAGTCATAGAGAAATCCTTACGATGTTTGCAACCACAAGCACATATGCATTATTTTACTAGAATAACTATATGGTTTAAGTGTACAATAGTATGTATTTGTTTTTATTTTGTATTTATTGTCATCTCCTTTTCATTGCTTCTGCAACATAGGTTTTTAGTATGTAACTCAGTATTTATTCACTCTACAGTACAATTCATCGATTTAAATGATAAAATATTATGATGTACTCAGTATGAAACTAACTGTAATTATGAAATAATTAAATAGAGATGTGAAATATTAAATTTGCACAGTAACCTTATGTATAGAGAATAATGTAATCTCATATTCTTCTTAATTTGATGAACAGCAAATTTGCCGTGTATGATTATGCAGCATTTACCATTTAATGGGACTCATGTATTTCATCACATTTACATCAAGCCTTAATGTTTACAGCTGATTAAACTGTCTCGTGTCCTCTTTCCATCCTCGCAGGCTGAGTTCTCAGAGGTCAACCTCGTCTCACATTCAAATGGCACCTGTAGTGTGGACATGCAGGTCATCAGGGGCGGGACCAAAGTGATCAGGTTAGCGCCGCATAAACACACACGCACACACACACACACACACACACACACACACACACACACACACACACACACACATTGGTTCTTTAGTGGTTCAGAGAAGATCAAACTTTGGCTATTTTGTACTCAAATCTTTCTTCCCAAGCCCCAAATCCTTTTTCCGTTTTATACCATTCTTTAATCCTAACCTTTGACAGTAAAATGAATCCCAAACTACAAACCTAATCTTACCCCCTAACCTACGAGATGGACCTCATCCCCCCAACACTAAACCTAAGCAGAAATAACTCTCTGTCCTTACAAAGGTTTCCCTACTTTGTAGAAGAATTTGCCTATTTTTGGAGGTATACTGTAAGAGCAGCATGCTCTCGATGGGGCAAACCTCAGTTGTTTGATTCTCATAGTTAAATTACAATTCCACAATGCAACCAAGAAATACAAAACTAACCTCAACCATTAATCTATTCACTGCAACTAATCCCCTGAGTGTAAATATAAAAACCCACCTCTGAAATATACCTATAAAAAATGTCTTGGATTTTAGATTTGATAGATTTTTTAGATTGATACATTGATTTACTTTTTGACTTTATAGTGTTGGATATTGTTGACCACTAACATTAACACTTGTACATTACATATCAGAATCTCTTCAAATCTTCTTTTTTTTTTCTTCTATTGTATGCATTTGTCTCAAAGCGCCCCTTGAAATTTAACATTTTTTGTGGTAACATTTGTTCCTCACAAGTAAATACACACAGAGTGTTGGGCTCCTGATTTCGACATAATATTAACTGTTCTACTCTCTAGACAAAATAAATGTAATGTAATGTACAATCCCAGTATACAACCAAAACATACAAACCTGACATAATCCCCTGACCCTAAACTTCGGAAATAAACCTGGGTCTTTTTTCAAGGACATTTGACACAAAGAAGACACACATACATTTTCAAGGCCTGGCACGGCACTCTTGATTGTGTATGAAATTACATTTCTTTGATTTACAATCCCCAGCCAAGAAATACAAACGTGATCTCAACAATTAATCTGACTCCCAAAACCAACCTCTGTAATAACCCAAAGTCTTTACAAAAATATCCCAAACAGACTTACATCTATTTACCAAATCCCAGCATAGTGCTGCTGTATCATGTTTGTGGATAAATTAATGATAATCCAACAACTTCTCTGGAAGATCAGACAAACAAACCTCAGAATGTTCTTGGAAATAATAAATACACTTGTTTACTGTAAGTTCTGATCAGTGGAAAAGGGGCAGAGGCGTATGACCTCAATCATTACCCACAGACTGGCGCAGTAGATCTGCGTACAAACATGTGAATGTACTGTAAACCAGACAATCACACAGACCCACTCACACACACCACAGACCACACTGACACAGACACCAGTGTCCCAGCTGAAGACTGTCAGCGATTAAGCAAGACTGTAACTCCCACTGCTCACCAACCAACAAAACCAACAGGAAATGAAGAAGGCAGCCTCAGTCTGACAATCACCATCCTGCCTTGTAATTATGCTTTATGAAGGGTTGGTCCGCACATGCTTGCACACAAACACACAGTCAACAGTGACCATTGCCCTCAGAGAGTTTGGATTCAGGGAAACTTTGATGCATCGCAGTAGATATAATGATTCACATTCACCTGTCTTGGTAGTCCTGTGCCCTCAGAAGCACTTATTCTTTTACACCATGTCTCACCTGAGCACCTCATAGACCTCCAAAGTTGCATCATGACCTCAGTCTCACCCAAACATAAACTTGCTGTGGAGAAAATGAATGAGTTCACAACATAATTGTCAGTCTGTCTTGTTGTCTGCCTGTCTGAGTTCATTGCAGGCTTTTCAGTCCTGGACGTTTTCTAACCATCTACATTTGTCTCTGTAATTGCACTGTGTCCATCGATTTCAAGTCAAAGCAGTGATTTTGCTAACTGTTCTGAGTCTGAGTGTTGCTAAGTAACCCTCACCCTGAAGAAGATGTAACATTTTCCAGACACCGAGCATGTCACTACATTATTTTCACCTGCTATTATCTCTATTCTTATATTTTGTTTTGATTTTTGTCTTTTGGGGGGTTTTGACCGATCTCAACAGCTATTGGATGGATTTGCTTTTGCCTTTTTTTTTTTTTGGTGCTTTACGACGAAATACCTGCAAAACTGAATGGCATAAGCCTAAATGCATGCTAAGCTAACATTTTTAAACATAGTAAACAAACACTTATTTGTCAACATGTTAGAATGCTGATGTTAGCATTTCATGTTGGAGCACTGCTACAGCCTCACAAAGCTGCTAACATGGCTGTAGAGCAATGCGTTAAATATACAGAGTGCACAGTGAACACTCCAAACGGAAAGTTAGCTAGGATGACCGTGGTACTGCTGACAACAAAGACCCAGGGTATTAAATTGAGAGTCATGGCCATGTTGATCTGTGCAGCCTACTGTCAGTAATGAAGAGATTACAGTCACATTAATTGCTGTGTCCTCTCCACCAGAGTCTTTTTTAGTTTCTTGGAGTGTCTGATTAGTATTCTCAGCACATAAAGAGCTGGTGGTGGTCACACTGTGCCAGATTTTCCTCTCTCTCTCTCTCTGTCTCGTTTCTCTCACTCCTCTTTACATCTCTTTTACTTTTTCTCTCCATCTCTTTTCTCACACCTCTCTCCCCTCTCTCTCTCTCTCTTTCTCTCTCTCTCTGCTTTTCCTCACATTCCCTCTCTCTCTCTCTTTCTCATACACACATTCAGAGACAAAAGGGAAAAATAACAGGAGTCATGCCCTATCACCATCAACCTTTCACTGAGCTGAACTGCACTGAATATTGTTTTTGCCCTTGACCCGGCGGTCAGTAATTGCTTCTTTGCTGATGTGGTTGTCAGTGTTTTGCTCTGGAGGCCGTCACATTTTAAAGTACAACATAAAAAAAAATCATAAAAATTGTAATAGATCATAAAACTCCAAACCTGGGGCCTATTATTGTCCGATATATTATTGTGTTGATTCATCCCCCGTTTTTCTCTCAAGTCAAGAGTTTGTTGTCATGGTTACAGTAATAAACCAGGCTAAGGTGGATCATTTGTGATCATGCTTATAAAAAAAACATTAATTGTTGAAGCGGAAAATGAACAGTCGTCTCCTGTGTCTGTTGACCCATCCACCCAGACTTCCTCCCTATACTCTTTAATATCACCGCCTCCTCCCGTCATTATTACTATGGCTGCCAAAAGGTTTTGTCACTTGAAACGTAAACGTTGTTTTGAGGCCCTTGCTGAAATGAATGATGCACTTGACCTTCTTGGGAGGACAGTCTCCTCATGAACTGATAATTTGAGGTGAATGGATCTTTGATAAACTACTTCTACTAACACATTTTTTATGACCACCAGCTGATCTGCCAATTACTGATTATCCGTTGATTACTCCATCACAGGTTGAAATATAACACATTCTCTGAGGTGACGCAGAGAAGCAAGACGTGATCTAATGTGCAACTGATCTCATTTTTCTGTATTGATCCTAATGATGCTAGTTACAATACTCAAAACAATAAAACAAAACTGTTGATACTCTATTGATCCGCTCCTACCCCACACAGTGCAGGCAATCAGTCAGTCACTATAGTGCTTGATCATTTTGTTTTACTTTACTTTTGCAGCAGCCATGTGCCACAATATATCATTTTATGTTGTTTATGTGACATCCATGTAATTATGGACTGTGGTAACAACAATGAACAGCTAGATCATCATCATTATTTTAAATTTTACCAACCTTCCTGAGAGCCACTTTCATTTACAACAATATGAGCAGTGTCTGTTTAGAGGTTAGGGATTTTGTGTTGAGTTCATTATTACAGCCGCCCCCTTTTATCTGCTTATTGTCTTACTTAGTGATGCATTAAAACGTGAAGGCTCATCAGTCACTTTGCTGAAGATTCTTAGATCTCCCGGTTTCTGTTCACTCTCACTGTTTGATACACAAATGTATTCAAAAACATAGAACCATAAATTCAATGTAGAAATATCTGACATCATCTAAATTATTTTGCTAAACTGTGTGGTTGCAGTAGAGGGACAACATGATTGGGTGCACAGTTTTTGAAATCCTCACAAAAAAAACAACAAAGCTTAGGCTACTATTGTGGAATGTATTTTTCAGATGGTTAATATAATATTTTAAAACAAAACTCCATGTGAAAATGCAGACTTGTGTATTAAATGTTCTTTATGAATGATACTATGTCATAGATAGATTTGCCACTGGTATACCAACACTTGTAAAATTATTCTTATAAAGTCATATTATTAAAATAGTTGTGTCATTTTGATTACAGATAATGTGAAAATAAATGTCCATTTCCCACTTGAAGCTTCATTTACCATTACATTTCTTCAATGCCAGGAAAATTGATATAGCAATCCAAAACAGATTGCTTGTTAAGAATCCTTCACAGATGATGATCTATTCTCAGATGAGAGCTATAACCACGTCATTGTCAATTCTCTTTGTCCAATTTTAGTCATTTATGTGGCCAAACAGACTTATTATCTCACAGTCCACGTGGAAAAGACTAACATATAATCTTTCACTTGTGGCTTTGTGGGCTTTTCCTCTAATGCCATCCAAAAATGTCTGTTTTTTTTTCTAATCAAATAACCAGCCTTTGACCCTTTTTCCTGAAACTGTGAAGTGACTCAGATTCAATCAGTCAGAATATAAATTATTTAAATCTTTTCTGACAACATAAGCTGAAATGTGCATGTAAGTGAGGTACAGTAAAACTAGAAATGTAAATGTTGTCTTTTTTCAACCCTCATTATTTCTTCTTGATTACCTCTGTTGCTCTCACACCAGGTCTTTCAGGCCCGACTTCGTCTTGGTGCGCCAGCATGCCTTCAGCATGGCCCAGAATGAGGATTTTAGGAACTTGATCATTGGTCTCCAGTATGCAGGCATCCCCTCAGTCAACTCTCTGGACTCCATCTACAACCTCTGTGACAAACCTTGGGCTGTAAGCAATTTGATTTTGAGGGTTTTTGTCTTTCTTATGTGACTTTCTGTGGCTCCACTATGACATTATTGATTGTTACTATATGAATAATGTGACAGTTCAGTACTGTGCTGTACATGTTATAATACACATCATACACACTCATTCAACCACCTGTAGTTGACTCTCTTGCTGTCTTTCTCTGTTCTCCTCCTTTCCACCAGTTTTCCCAGCTGATTAATAATCAGAAGAGGCTTGGTTCAGATAAATTCCCTCTCATTGATCAGACCTTCTACCCCAACTACAGAGACATGGTAAGATGGGTTGGGGTTTTTTTGTGTTTACAGATTGTATATTGTCAGTAACCCTGCAGCAAACACTATCAAAACACCATCTTCAACCGATAAAAGATTCACACTTTATTTTGAATTATTCAAAGAATCAGTTCATTCTGATTACTGGGTGTACTTTAATGTTTTAATGTCACATGTTCAGTATTGTTGCACACAAATATGTGTTGAGATTACAGAAAGATTACAAAATAAGACTAATATAAAACAATAAAAAAATGTGTTACTGTATATGACACTAATTAGAAAGATGAACTTGCTTATTTGCTTTATGAATTTAAGTTCCTATATTTACTATAACATTTGCTGTCCTGTATTGTACTGTAGGTACTGTATTGTATAGAGGTGAGGTATAAGAAATATATATTGTCCTCTGCAGGGACCAGAGTGCTAACAGTTTGGTTACTAAGGAGAAGAAAAGAAGAGTCACACTATTCCATTGAGACATTTTATATACAATCTTTTTTGGTACATGGAAATAGAAAACTCTATTTAGACAGAAACAGAGACATAAATACAAACCCAAACAATTCTTTCAGTATAAAACAAACATGAAATTGTTTGATAATAATTCACTAAAGCCATACAGTTATTATGCATTATTATCATACCAGTCATGGAAGTCTAAATTTAATTATTAACATATTTCAAAACAATATGTTTCCAACGTGTCAGGCAAATTGCTGCATTATGCAGGTTAAATTTAAATATTTTATCTTTGAATGTGACCCCAATATGATCTTTGAATAGTGGCTTGTACATGAAGATAGCGAGTAATAATGCTTTTTAATCTGTATGACTTCAGTGAAGTAGTCCAGTAACAAGACAGGGGTCAATTCAGATTTGGGTCTTTTAATAAATGTTGAGTCATTATATTAAATAATGCCTATAAAACAACAATTAAATCACTAATTACATCTTATCCTTGAATATAAGTTGTTTATATTTTTGTTGGTTAACGTATTGTGTATTGTTCTTTTCTTGAACTTGAACGTTGAGGAGAATCCACTTCCTGTTTTTAAGGAGTTAAAAAAAAGGGAATTGAACCGTGTCCTGTTACATCATTTCCTCTAAGGAGAGGTGGCTTGGCGTCTACAGGTGGCAGTGCTGTTGTTAAAGCGCTGGATTAGATTTTTGGCACAAGAAAAAGTACAAAGTACGACTTCAACCAAGGAGACTAAACACACAAAGCCACAAGATAACAACGTCTATGCTAAGACAAAATCCGGTTAGCCTTTAAAATGTTAATTCTCACTGAAGTACAATATTTACATTCTCAGCAATTTGAGAGTATAAACTGTGATGATTTAGATGTACAAGAATTGTGATCATATATAATTAATGTGTAAGATTTTGACAAAATATCATTAATTGGGGAATGTCTGGTGTTGCTTTGTTCAATATATATACAGTGAATTTTGTATGGGACAGATAATATATAAAGATAAAATGTCAACACCAGAATGTGTGCCATCAGAAACGAAGAAAAGATTCACTCTGGGGTGAATAATTTGCAGTGGATGGCCTGCTGCTATTCTTATTCTGTGGAAAACAGCAAGTGAAGTGGAATGTGTGAGAGCGAGAAAATGAGTCAGAGGAATGTTGAAAGCCCCTGCACTTTATCAAAATGTTCCTAGCACTGCTGCAGCAACCACCTCAACCCCGCTAACAGAAGCTCAAAGTTGAGTTAAGCTCCTTCAAATGAGAAAATCAGCCAATTTGTTCAATGTTGCTACTTTGCACGCCGAATTTGAGCTACACAAGGAAAAGCAGGAAATGTTTCTTGGGACATTGCAGGAGTGAAATCAAATGAATGTCAGAATTACAGGTCAAGGGTCAGTCATGTCCAGGAAGTCTTTCTCAGGTGGAGGCCCACCCCGGTACCAGCTACAGGTTGTGTCAGAGCGGCGGATACAGGCGTACTGCCGAGCCTGCTCCCCATTTAGGCTGTTGTCCAACAGCCAATCAGTCCACAAGCACTCGTTTTCTCCTGTTGACGCACACGGCACTGTGTAACAGGTGTTGATCTGAGGAAAGAAGAGTTTTTGGTTCATTCGTTTACTCACTTACCCATCTCATTATTTGATCCTGAAGTAGTTGGCCTCCCCTAGGTTATGAATAAGGTGATTTTTGGGTTTGGTTCGGTTGGTCTTGAGGCTTCTCTACGACAGATAGATGAGTTGGGACAAAGATAAATATGTATGAATAGAGAATGAACAGTCCTTACTCACTCTGCATTCACAGCCCATCTGGTATCTGTAGTTGAGATTCTTCTTCTGTGACAGCGACAAGTTGTCCCAGGACTCTACGAGGTCACATTGGCCAATGGAAATTCTCCCATCACTCCACATACTTCCTGTTAAGTGACATCACAACAGCACCATTGAACACACAACCTTAGGGATTATAATGACTATAAATGTTAATACTGCTGTTATAAAAAGTAGATAAAAACTTTAATATCAAATACTAGCTAATGGAATAATATGAATCATGTTGACTGATATGACCAAAACATCACAATGTTTACAACAAATCTAGTTAAAAGAAAACAGTTTGACATTTTCCAAAATACACATATTTGCTTTCTTGCCGAGATGTTGAATATGAGTGGATGAATATCACTCTCATGTCTGCACAGTTAGTTAACATAAAAAAAAACTAAAATAAGAAGGGGGAACAACTTGTCTCTCGTTCTCGGGTTCTTTTACAGATTAAACAAACAATATATAAGGTGTTCACTGGTAAGCTTCAGAGGTGCTGATATGCGTTTTTTGTTACCTTTAGACAGAACCAGAATAGCTGTTTTCCTCTGTTTCCAGTCTTTATGTTAAGCCAAGCTAACTGGCTGATCACTGTTGCCTCATATTTACAGTACAGACATTAAAAGTGGTATTGATATTCTCAGGAAACAAGTGCATTATCCAAAATGTTGAATTATCCCTTTAAAAGAAAAGCCCTCCTGCCACTATCACTCTACTGTATTGTCAGACCTTTTACTGCAAACTGAAAATGAAATATAAAAACTGACATTGTACCTGAGAGCAGATATCCTGCTTTGTTGTTGGAGTCCAGTTTGACTCCACACAGTGAGGAGAAGACTGGAGTGTACACATACTGGATATCCTTGGCCTTGTCAAAACCTTTGAACATCTGGACATACAAATATAATAGGAGAAGAGCGTGGAGAAGTAGACAAAGGGAGAATATAAGCCATTTATTAAATACAGTATATATGTGGTAATAATGTAAGCAAGAATAATAAAAGGGCTAGAATAATTGTTATATGTCCCCAAATATATACAATCTAACAGATTATTTACAAAAATCTAGAAATAAAACTGCTGGTAATTTTGGATATTTAGCACTCTTATTCAGAGGAGCGTAGTCCTGCTCTGTAAACACATTTGGACCGTTTTAACTAGCCTTCTTCTTGTATTTGAAAGCTGTCTACCATGGACATGTGGTCTGAACCGATTGTCAGTGCAGCTAATCAGTATTTGTTTACTTTTCCTGACAGATTAGCCAATACCCACATAAACAGCTCAGCTATACGCAGCAGCATAAACAGTGAATGTGATGTATGTCCGCACCGGCAGCAGCTGTTGCTGCTGTCTCGAGAACTCACCTTGATCATTTTGATTTCATATTGGATCATCTTCATGTAAGGTGAGGAGCTGTTGCTAGGCGACACAATCTTCTCTCCAGAGATCTTTGCCCTTATCACTGACAAAAATAAAAAATAATAAGAGAAAGGAGGATTAAGATTCATTAAAATTCCAAATAAATGCAAGAAGCAAGCTAATAATGTGATTTACATGGCAGAAACAATGGAAAACAAGTCTGAATTATGCATGTTTATGATATCAGTAAGATAGATAGATAGATAGATAGATAGATAGATAGATAGATAGATAGATAGATAGATAGATAGATGATAGATAGATTTTTCCTATCCCTCCTCCTCCCTCCTTTTCTATCATTTCGCTTGTCACTCGTCTTTCTCCCCACACAGACAATGTAGCAGTCCCTCTCAGTAGTGATACCGGATGTGTCTCTCCTCTCCTCTGGGAGGGAAATCAAAACCCACATGGAATAACAAGTAGCTCTCTGCTTGCACACTCCCATTAACCAACTCCCCGCGCGCACACACGCACACACACACACACACACACACACACACACACACACACACACACGTTTATGTATACAGTATATACCACGACACACACACTCAAGCCAAACCATGTCTAGGCACATTATTTTTTCCCATACTGTAAATCAAGAAGAAAAGTAAATTAGCAGGATAATTGTACTGTGGCTCTCAGCAGGAAGGTAACAGAGAAGTCGTATGATTTTACAACCTTTCATTTAGAGACAAAACACTCATTACACTTAAATTGTTATTAATGTTGAATGTTTTAGTCACACAGACCACAGTATGCAGTCCGCACTGTGCCAAAGCAAACCATGTTATTACAGACCCAGTCCTTGCTACAGACCTACTTTTATCCTTCCATCAAACCCATAAAATCTGCATTACTCGTTAACTGACAAATTAATTTCACTGTCAGACATTTCCTTTAAACTAATAACACTGCTGTTGCTCAATCAATCAAACATAATTAAGTATTATAGCTATTTCTCAGGTTACCTCTGGAACTTTGAACATGGCAGACAAGCTGCATTAACTGTGCACCCAACAGAAAAGCAGTGGCACCACATGAACCAGCCCAGTCCCACGCCAAATCGTGTAATAGACACGCTGATCCACTAGAGGATATGTGTTCAGAGTCGCTTTGCCTAGACGTGAGTTGTACACACGTGTATGACAATGCAGTAGTAGTATAAAGAGCGACTAAGTCCATGTCTGGAGGCGGTAGGGTTGGATAGTTGGCTTAAATAAACAAAGGACTTCCACTCAACATGAGAGCCAAACACACTGGATAGTCCTCTAGTCCTCAACCTAAAAGCCTTTTTTATTCTAATGTTAAAAACACACAGTTTGAAATGATAAATAAAGCGTAAATATAATCTCTGTCTTGTTTGTATCTCACTATGTAAGCTATAAGCAGCTAAACAGTGTTGTAGCTATTTAAACAATCTGATCTTACATTTTTCCCAACCATACTTGTAACTCTAGGTCGAACTAGCTCTACACTTAAATACAAGAACAACAATGTGTCTTTATTTCCTTGTTTTCTACAGGGATAATTTAAGGTGGGGTCAGTCATTTTAGAGAAAGATAGTTGATTGTTGAGTCTCAATGCAAGCCATGCAATACAACAGGTGGTATTTGTGCTCCCAGGTTGTCAAATACCAGCACTTTGGGTTGCCACAATGTCTGTATTTGACGACTTGCGAATGAGACTCAACAATCAACTATTTTCCTCCTGAATGACTGATCTCATCTTTAACTGGTAAGGATGCTGACTTTTTGCCTTAGACTTTCAGTCTTTTATAACAATGTAATGTATGAATTGCCTACAAGTGCATATTTAACTATACACCTTTACAGGGTTTTTACTCTAAAAGGAGGCAGTTGGAAACAAATAAAAAGTCAGCAGGAGACAACATTTTCAACCAAATTATGAGGCCAACCATTACAATTAGCTAGCTACTTATAACAAATAAAATCTGTCAAACAGTTGTCCTTTAGCCAACAAAATTAAAACCTGAGAGCTAGAAATAATAGACCTTCTTTAGTCTGAAATCAAAGACCTGTAGTTGCAAAAGTTATTAATAATTTCAAGTGGCAAATCTGCCTCTTTTATCATTGTAAGCTGCTTTATGTGCTTTAGAATGCGTAGCAACAGTAACTAAGGACAGCAGTGCTTAGCTAATTTGATTGATTTTGTAATAACATCATTTTATTCTGTTGATTATAATCAATAACATGAAATTAATATACCTAAATATATTTATTGTTTGAGCTTGTAAGCAATGAAAGCTGCCTGTATTCCCAGGAACACTGCTACATAACGGTCATTCCCTGTCCTCCACATTAGTCTCTAAAAGAGAGCAAATGGTCCCCTGTAGATGCACCACAGTGAGATGGAAACAGACAAGGGAAGAAACAGAGAAAGGCAGAAGTGAAGCAAGTGACCCATAGCCATCAAAGAGAGAAAAGCTACAGTATAAGAGAGGGAAAGAAATTGTGACCCAGCACCCCTGCTAACCCTCACCCTCTCACACAGCTACAAAAACCACCCCCTTGTTTTTCGCTTTTCGCTCATCACATAACTCCACCACAGTTTTGTGTGCTGGTAAGAAGAGGAGGAGCTCAGTGTGTTCTGTGAAATTGGTTCAGGAGAAAAGAGACTTTTTTGTCAGTTGAACACACAAAAAGATTGAAAGGCAGGCACACAAACAAATACAGGCAGACAGAAAGTTAATGCGAACTGGTGTGAAATGTTACAGTTTAGTCAAAATGCACTGCATCACCCACACTGAGACAGCTGATTCACGGATGTTCACTTTCTAGAAAATGTCAGAGAGCATAAAATGCTTGCTTGGTAAAACTTTGATATACTTCATTGTTAAATTGCATTATTCATAGCCCGAGGCTCAAATAAAGCATGGCAGTACATCTGAAAACATTAGACTTGCAGCCGTCAGTAATACAGCACTGCTGTCGTTGTATCATGTTAAAATTATTCAAAAGTCAAGGGGTTGTGTGCGAAAATAACAGGATATACTAAAGGGAAAATGTTCTCCTGACATGTTAGGTATAAAATGTACCAAGGGCAGAGATGCTCTATAATACCTTACAATATGCATTACGGTGTATGACCTCACAAGGACACACCTGCTTGTAAACTCACACACAGCTGTGACCTAAAATTAATCTTGTAAAGAACTAGAGCTGAGTTTAATTAATGGGTTAGTACATTGGAGTGTCATGGATATGTCCTGCATTTGCATTAACTTTGGTTAATTAGATATAAAATACTGGATGCTGGATGGATTTGTTAAAATAAAATGGACTCATGGCTTCGAAATGACCTAAACATATGACTGAACATATCTTAAGCACTTATACTGCATGTTTTTGTTGCTTATTGGCTAACATTTGAACCAATATCATTTATCTGTGAACAAAAGCTGTCAGTATACTAAAAAATAGTTGTTGGATGGTCGAATGGCTTCAGAAACCACCTCCCCTCCAACCCTACGCGGCAGCTGGACTTGCAAGATCAGGCAAAAATCCATCTTGCCAGGCTTTTATCTATGCGTTTGTGGCTGAATAACAGTGGTACCGAAATAAACAGCATTCTTTGTGGAAGTACTGAGAGCTACTGGGTTGGGCGCTAGGTGTGATGCAGGCTTTTCTTGATGGAAAAGATGTTCTAGCTCTTTTGCCAACTGGCTTCAGTTTGACTGCGTTATATGGTTTATTGATTTGGTTAATTGCAGCTCACCTGTGATATATGGTTCATCTAATCCCCTGCCAAGCATTTTTTGAAAGTGCCTGCCCTTTTCCATGATGGTTCTGTGGTTGAGGTTCAAACTAGTTCTGTTTGAGCATAACCCAAACCTAATACCGGCCTATATGTTGACCCAGATGATTTCTCTACTTGTACTTTTACATTGAAGTATTTTGACTTCTACTTAACTGCTGGTTAATGGTATTAAAAAGTGTTGTTTTTATAGGCCAATGCCAAAACGTACAGTACACTGACCTCCACAACTATGACTACACTGTACTGAATAAGGCTTCATGCTCATTACACAGAAATACACTATACCAATGATGACTATCATATTATTGCCCTCTTTGTTCGGTTCAGCTTTGATCTGCATTTCCTTTGGCAAGACGAACCATATCTAAAAGTAGATGAAGCAAATTAGCCAGCCCACTTAACTCTTCCCCTCTGAGCAGAATAATGGATCTATGTGGCCTATTAATGATAAGTAATACACCAACGCATAACCGTGCTCTTGGTAAGGATCAAATAGTTGGCAGTCTGAGTATTGGCTGTGTATCAGTGGAACATGAAGGAGGACAGAAGTTGCTATAGCAAATAAACCAAGAATAGTACAGTCATTTTTCATTATAGCAGATCAGTGGTTTTAGTAATTTTTCGAGAAACTGTGGGCCCATTCCAGATAAAACCCTGGGTTGGATCACCTTCCAGGCTTAATAGTTTTTGAGTAATAATTGTACATATGTTGTAGAAATGGCATGTAATAACTGAACAGCAAAACTCATTTTATTTCAATTTTGTTGTCTTGGCCCAGATTCTCTGAAATGTTTACCCCCCACCTAGACATCTTTGAACTGCACAGGCGAGGTTACCCACCCAATTCAGTTGCTGCAGCTGTGTTATGAACAGGAATAAGGACAGGCACGCCTGCAGAGTGAAAGTGGCTGTGCATCTGCCTCAGAGCTACATAACCAAAGAGAAATATTGCAAACTTGTACCATGAGAACTGATGTAGTAAGTAACTTCCCCCCTCCCTGATGAATCGGCACCCTTGTCATGCTCACAAAGCTGGACTGTCAGCGGGCTTTCACACTGATATTGTTAGTATTCAGACCATTAGACCAAGCCTATAGACATGGAAATGAAGTGGGGAGAGAGAGGGAAAGAAAGAGAGAGAGATGGAGTAGGCTGTGTTGGCATGGCTTGGCCTCCGTCCAACACACACACACTCACACTCATACACACAATCTCAAATACACAAACATGGCAAGGGAATCGTCCAAGGTTTGTCCAGATGGGATATTACTCAGATGTACAGCTTTATTCAAAGGGCTCATCGGCTCTGACAACACTGTCAGGTCAACTAAAGGCCACCACCAGCCTATGCTAAGAAAACAACCAGGACAGTATAATTACAGATGCCACCAAATAAAAAAGTTTTCGGAGAAGCACTTAGTGCAAGTGAGGGATTTTCCTAATTTGTTATTCATGGGTTCAAAAAGTTGCATCCTGGCTGAAAGGGCCCACTGACTCTTGTATTCATTGAGAGATGGACGATGGACTCATTTTAAATACATTTAAAACTAAACACAGACCCAAGCCCCGAGCACACCCTAAAGAAATGGGATCCAATTAATTACAAAAGAAGTTAATTGACCATTTGTGAAGTTCCGACCCTCGTAGTTACTGTTCATGCACAGTACATATACAGTTTTCACTGATTATGGTGACAGATTCACCAATAGAAATATTTAGTAATTTTTGAAACAATAATAAACAATGGGTTCCTGATTTCACAAAGAGGCAGACAAAAACAGCTTCTCAATTCTGAAATTGGCTATTTACATTAGATCCATGAGTTGATTGAAAACTCCTTGTCCAGCTGACATGCTCACGCTAAAAGACTGATGTGAAGTAGCTTTGCTTTTGTACCGCAGAGTAGAACTAGTTAGCTAGAGTTAGCACGTGGAAAATGTACTGATATTATGTTCTGACAGAACACTGTTTGGATGTTCAGCTTACAGAGAAAAATAAGTGGACAAGCAGCACAGAAGTTACAATGGTGGTGAGATTTATGGTTTATTATTCGTATGTTCAAACTGTATGTCTCACTCTCCTCATTAGAAGACAAAAGTGTTTGATGATGGGGGCTATGTGGGCAACACTATCTGTTGAAGTGTTTACTTCCCCAAATCAGGACAGAGCCGCTAACGTGTCATATAGTATCACCATATCCACGTGCAGATCCTATGAACATGGGTCCAGAGCTGGACTCGCTTTCAGGGGAAGGGTTAAGCAAACAGTCAATTGGAATCCATTTTATTCGTGTCCACACAAACTGTGAAAAAGTGGTTCAACACGTAACGTTTGCTATCAAACTGCAATCTTTGTTGTTTCAAATAGTTTCAGTTTTTGAATGTTGGCTACACAATTTACATGCTTTGGTTTCTTCAATGAAACAACAGAACAAAAGGCCAAAAGATGTCTATGAAATTGGACCCAATGCTATACCAGTGTAGACCAGAAAGTCTAGACTGAGGCCTGGTTTAGATCCGTTCCAGTCTAACTCATTGAGACTTTGCGACGTCAGGTCTGTATGAAAACAGAATAATCGTACTTGCAGGACCTCCAACTCACTCTTTAATGACACACTTCATATGTAAAGTCTTGTCCTAAAAACATCGCCCCAAATACTCTCATTGTGTTCTCATAACCCAGATCTAATCTGGCGTTATTTCAAAAACAGGTCTCAGCCTCCATTTCATACTGACTATTTTCTGGGTACTTTGAAGAAGCTGACCCTCTCGAAACCCGAAAAGACTAAAACAAGACTAAAGTACTGTTAACGAAATTTCTACTTTCTCTTTCTCTCTGTCTCTCTCCTCTGCTGGAGTGTAACCTTTGACAGAAGCAGATACTCAAGCTTTCCACAGTCTGGAGCCAAGTACTCAAAGTCAGAGCAGAGTGTTGGTTTTGGCCTGTGCTTAGACAAGAAAGAACTGGATGATGGGGGGCGTCAGACAGAGAGACAGACAGAAAACCTGACGGACAGACAGATAGAAAAAAGTAGGCCGGGGCCACTTGGCGTTGACTGTTTTTTTAGGGTGCGCTTTTTTTTTGTGACTGAGAGCAAGAAGACTCAATTATGTAACTACAAAAAACAGATAGCAGGCCGTCCTGTTTTCAAATACTATTACAAGGCCTGATTAATCTTGGTATAAAGGAAAAGGTCAGAGAAAGTATGTGTGCACATTTATTTCTTGAATGAATATTGTTAATTTAGCTTAATTGATATTAATCCATAATCAATCAACTAACAGTCCACCACACTAATATTTTATAAAGCCTTCCAATATAGTGCTTTAATAATCAGGACTGTTTTCTCTGCATAAGACAAGGTCATTTCTATGAATATAATTGGAACAAGACAAAATAATAAATCAACATTTTCAATTAACTACCATAAAAAGCTCAGCCCTGAAGCCCCATTGATTAGTTCAGTAGGTTTACACTCAGAATATCTAATTAACTTAATCAATAAACAAATTATCAATCAGTTAATTAAGGAGGACCATTCCTCCCATTTTAAAATCATAATTTTGAGTTATTACATTCACAGTCTGAAGAACTTAAAATCAGGTTTTCCCTATTATGAAATGCAGCAGCTTTTAAATTCTTAAATTTTAGGACTGAACAGAAACTAAACTGCTCTCCAGTTATTAACTTACCAATCTCAGCGCTGCAGAATAGCTGCTGTGGGTGTGCTGGGTGGCAGCTACATCCCTCCACAACTTCTTCCATGCCTGCACCAAGCAAAAGGAGCACCCAGAGCCCCAGACACGCACTACGCTCCTGGGACATGGCCATGATGACTCTGGCTGCCTCTGACCGCTCCACCACTCGATAAGCACTCGGCAACCTCTTCTGATCCTGTTAAGTTCCGCGGGAAAGCAATTCAGGCCGGCAGTCAGTAATGCGAGGAAGGATAAGACAGTAGAGTTGGAGTAGTAAGATGAGCTCTGCTGAGCTGAAAGGCAGCTGTGGATAGAAATGTTCATAAGTTTAAAGTACACCTCTGAATTCAAGCTGGAGCAAATAACTTGAGTTGGAGGCAAGGTGGCTGCTGCTGCTGTTGCCACTGCTCTCTCTCTCTCTCTCTCTCTCTCTCTCTCTCTCTCTCTCTCTCTCTCTCTCTCTCTCCCTCTCTGTAGACAACACACAGAGAAACTTACAATAGTTGGATCCCCTCACACTCTGGTCTTGAATGCTGAGAGGGTCGCACACAGGGAGCCTCTTATGTACTCAACAACTTAGGGACAGCCTCCTCAAACCCAGAAAAAAAACTACCATCCTTTGCCTCTTCTTGTACCCTTCTTTTGATGTCCTCCCTCTCCTCCTATTGGCTGCCATAAGTGCATTCATGCAGTTAGTCATGAAAATGATGACTGATTAAAGTATTTTTGGACAGGTTGGTGATGCATAGATAAGAAGTGACCTTTACCCACCCAAACAATGCGTTTAAGAACATTTGTACACATTTTTTTGTTGTTCAAGATTGGTGTTTTTGTGTGTGATCATCAGTGCAGCATCTGAGTCATAAATGCAAATGATGATTTTAAACATGACTGTTTATTACAGTTCAGTGGTAGAGTACAAATTTCATGTCAGGACAGCACTTCATGACTAATTTTGAATACAAAAGACATCTGAGTGTGTGCCAGTATGTGAAAAGAAACAACAGTAAAGACTGAAAGAAAACTTTTAAAGAATATCAAACAGATTTAATTGACAGAATGCAGCTCTAACATTGGAAATGCAAAACAATGATTAGAGTATTGACTAAGTGTATGTATTAAATGATCTCAACAATTATCCTTTTTCTGCATCTATTTGAACATTTGATTTGCTGTGTGCAGAAAACATCTTTCTTTATCACTAATTTTGTATCACATTCTTTAAAGCTGCACTAATTAATGCATTTATTAATACAATACATCCAAGAACTACATGTAATTTGAAAAAATTTCATCTCATTGTTTTGGTTTTCTGTCCCTCAGCTTAAATTTTTTGGTTCACTCTCACTGCTCTCATTGCATTGTTTTGATCAAAAAAGCACTGATAAAACCATTGTACACTTCCTGCACAGCACCAGATGGCAGACAGAAAAAGTTAGTAACTAGCTGGGAACACAGCGAAGCTTTCAGTGGCTAAAGAAGCAGATATTTGCCTCAGGAGCTGGTCTAAGCCAAAACAGAGTAAAAATGACTTGGGTACATTCATCAAGTAGCCAGAAAGTTCAAATTAATGCTGCTTTGTGTCTGCTGCATGTTGAAATGCAACTGTTTACTAACATGTTTGTCATATCAACTTCATAAGATGATAATGTATATATGTGTATATAAATTTTTTCTTTCTGCAAAATATAACAAAGAATTAATGTTACTGTAAATAATCTATTTTTTGCCGTAAAGGCCCACTTTTCTGCACAGATCTGGTGACAGCTGCTCATTTTTCACAGCAGGGTCTTTCCACTGTGCTGATACGTGTAACAACTGCAATTAATCTGTATTGTTCATTATTATTCACCCTCTAATTATTTTATTACTTTTCAGATTACAACACCAAGTTTCCCAGTAGTGGTGAAGATCGGACACGCCCACGCTGGAATGGGAAAAGTAAGGTTGCTCTTCTCCTCTTGCTGAAGACAGAATTTATTCAGCCATTTTACTTTTTTGTTATTTTTCTAACTTAATGTGATGAATTCCGTGATCGTCCATGCACATGAAAGACTGGACCTCCTGAAATTAGCATTATACATTTAAGCATTTAAATGGTACTATGGTAATGCATCAAATTATTTTGTCTTGTTTCGGTGGAAGACACATTCATGCATTAGTGAAGTGGAGAAAATAGCTGCATGTTGGACTGAAGCCCACCCATTAGACAGTTGCATCCTTTACCAAATTGCCATTGGAAAGTGCTTTAAAATCCCTCTGTGTGCCTAAAAATAGTTGAATGGTTTTCACTAAGCCCCACCACGTCTGGAACCACATCGTTCGTACTGTATAATGCTTTCTCTTATGTACACTACCACTTAGTTCTCTGCTTTCCTCTTATCTGTCTTTCCTTATCCTCTCCTCCTTTCTTGGCTGCATCGCTAACTTTTATATTCCTCCTCAGTCCTCCTTTTCCTTTTCCTCTCATTGATTGACAAGTGTGTTAATATTTTCTGTGTGAAATCAGATTAAAGTGTTTATCCTCTCTCTACCACTCCTCATCGATCCACCACACATCACTCCTTTGAACTGCTCAGTCTGATCTGTGTTATTGTCCTCTCTCTCTGTCTAACTGGGCCTCTTATCATCCTGTACCTTTTTGCACCTTTTGTAGAAATCCCACTTCATATACGTCTATTTCGCAGCAGTTGTTTCTTCCATCCGAGAGGAATAGTTCAAGACAGTCATAGGTACAGGGGGAGAGCACGAGTACACTAGTTTCCACTTCGCTTTTTTTTTATTAAAGTGGACTTTTTTGGATATTGACAGTGGCTACAACAGAGACCATCACATCATTTTATCTACATACTCCCTGACTCAGGTCTTTAATGGGGTCTACATTATTGATTATATGACAGTATTCAGACACCACAAATGGAAATTACAAACCGAATGCATCACTCAAGAACAGCATCCTTTACATGTATATTTTTTACCCTTTGTATTGATCCTTTGTGCATGCTTGAAGAAATAGTTTCACACTTTGACACGGGAAATTTGTTTAATGCTAAGTTGGACAAGAAGATTGACACACGTTCATGTCCACACACAATTTGTAGCTGGATCCAGCAAGCAGTTATCTTCAGGGGGGCCCAGCTAGCCTAGCTCTAATCTGTTTTTGTATATATTAAACCATTTGTGTTTATTGTTTGTTTGTTAGTACTTTAGAGGCACTGGTAGGTGAATTTTCTTACCTTTGGACAGAGCCAAGCTAGCTGTTTACTTATTCAAGTCTTTATGCTAAGCTAACTGTTAAGCTAACTATTGAGCCCCTGGCTCTGGCTTCATCTTTAACATACAGCTGTAAGACTGGTACTCATCTTTTCATCTGACTCTCAGCAAGAAAACAAACACTGAATCACTATTATGGTAAACAAAACAATGTAAAAGTTTGTGCAACCTGCATAAAGCCCTGCCTTGGTTGAACTGAACGGTGTTTGTTCATGTGTTATTCCTCTGTAGGTTAAAGTGGACAATGTGAGTGACTTCCAGGACATTGCAAGTGTTGTGGCCATCACTCAGACCTACTGCACTACAGAGCCATTTATAGACGCCAAATACGACATCAGGGTCCAGAAAATCGGCGCCGACTACAAAGCATACATGTGTGTGAGAGTTTTCTTTCACATATTGTGTGTTCATGTGTGTACTGTACAATAAGCAAAGTTTGTGTTGTGCAAGGGAACGGTGGTATACATGCATTTGCTTTGACTTAGCAACGTGACATTTAAAATCCTCATTTAGGGGAGGGTGGGGTAAGATGAGCTGATTTTTCATATTTTTTTTTACTACATCAAGGCAATCATAGTTTTGTCGCTAACTAATATATCTGCATATATTTCAGGATGTTGTGCATCACTACAAACAAACAGAATGAGTGTAAACATAACTGTTTCGATAATATAGCATGTCCAAAAAAAGTGGTCTCGTGGCTCAACTTACCCCGAGTACGGGGTAAGTTGAGCCGTAACCCTGGCACATATAATGCAGATTAAGCCATATATTAAAATCATATTGTTTGTAAACTTTTCAGAACATATTAACAATAACAGTCACACAATATGCATGTTTATAGCAGTAAGGTTGAGGCAATTACATAAGGTTCTCTCATCAGTCCTGTCTACTCTTGGGACCACTACTTGGTCACTATCCTGAGAGCTCAATGTGTTTTGCAAGAGAAAAACAATGTTTTTTATCATTTTCTGACATTCTGACACCAGAACATTGTTCGTGTGTGTGCTTAATTGAATGAAATGTATGAATTAGACAGGGTGTAAATCTCTATTGCCTGTGTTTCATAATTTCTACAAGTGAAGGTTTTTGTCTCTTATAATTTAACGCGCAATTTGCACTTGCTCTTTTCCAGGCGAACATCCATCTCTGGTAATTGGAAGAGCAACACCGGATCTGCCATGTTGGAACAAGTAGCCATGACTGACAAGTGAGCACCGCTTCCGCATTAGTGATGCTCAGGCTGTCCTTGTGTCATGTCACTATTAGTCACATTGCCCTCACACATGGATAAACACACAGATGTTTAAAAATCAGTTGATGTTTTCAGTGGACAGTGCATACATTTTCTAACATGTATTATGTCTTTGTACACATAGAAAGAGATCAAATACTAGTTTGTCGAAGGCCGTTCTCACATTGAGCTGCTCTTCTCATTGCTAAATTCTGGATTATGCACCTCTTTCACAGCATGTATTTTGACCTGTACCAGCGGGAAAGCTCAGGTGTAACTGGCTTACTGGCTTACTGGCATGGCCTATAGAGACACCAAAATGGAACAGAGCCTCATAAATGATAAGTTAGAGCTACACCAAGTGAAAAGGTCAGCTGTGAAAAATGTCTATAGTCAGATATAGGGGTAGTGGAGTGGTATTGTTTGTAGTGTCATTACTGCACCAACGTCCACATGCAGCACCACTGAAATACAGCTGAAGAATTGATGCATAAATACTATCCTGAAGGATCCAAAGTAGTTTTTTTGCTTTTACAACATACAGTTTCCAACTTTTAGCTCAGTTTACTCATTTCTGAACTCTCCAAACCTTACACTGCCACTTACACAAGCCCTCACAAAATCAGGCACTCACCACTTGTCCTCATCAAAGTCAATCTTTTCAATTATTCAGTGACCTTCCCGCCGTAATGTTTTACAAATTCCTGCACAACTGAACAGCCTTAAAAACAGATATATTGTACATATTTTTTAAATTACTATATTTCTTCATATTTCCTATGGTAAATGTTTACTTTTCATATTTTCTTAACTATACAGTACATGATTTTTATCTTGTTTATTTTATCTTTGTTAATTGTTATGCACCAAAATACAAAAAGCCAAATTCCTTGTATGTGAAAACCCTTGGCAATAAACCAGATTCTGATTCTAAAAACATTAACATCATAGAAGGCTTTCTTTAATCTGTATTGTGTTCAGTTTTCCAGACAGAAAGTCTTTACAGATGCTGCTGCAGCAAAAGCACCTTTACAGTCAATATTGGTCCCAGTCTTGAGCTAAAGAGGTTCTGTAACAGGTTTACTGTCAGGATAAATGTCCTGAAGGGCAACGGTTGCACAGAGATACTGCACTGAAGTGATACATAGTCAAATATAGTCAATATTATTGATAGTGTGGAAGAACAACATTTCTTTTTAATAAACTAAGCAAGATGTTGTTAGGCAGGAATATTTTCAGTCCTGCTTAATACTGCAAATACCTGCAACTCTTCTTGACCCTGCTCAAATGCCAACATTGCAACTTAGCAAACTAGTAATTGTATATACTGTAGTGGTAACCTGTTTGCTGTTAACGGATTATGACTCTAATCCATTTTCCCTATGTGACAGGTATAAGCTATGGGTTGATACTTGTGCAGAGATCTTCGGGGGACTGGATATCTGTGCTGTCAAAGCCATCTGTGGCAAGGATGGTAATGACTACATTACTGAGGTGAGAAAAACACATAAAGAAGAGAGGGGTGGAGGGAGGGAGGATGGAAACTCGGAAAAGGGAAAGATAGAAAAAGGATTCTTAGATTGAGCATTCACTACATCAAATAAGTCAAAGAATCGAACAGTTTACAGCTGCGATATTATCTCTGCATCGCTGTATTCATTGACTCCTGCCTTTTGTTTGGTAACTTTCACCATGTTGACATCAGCCTGTGAGAGTTGTGTTTCATCAGGAGTGCTAATAAGGTCTTTGAGTCTTAAATTTAGCATGTCTGGCCTAATTTACACTGCTGGGGCCTTAGATTGTCTGGCTGGGAATAAACTGATTGAACCTAACCTGAATACACATTATGAGCTTGATAACAGCTGGTGATGTTTCAATAATTATGGTAATCTCTATCTCCACCTATGTCAGTATTTGTTCCATTTGTCTCTTCATGTGTCTGTCTTTCTGAACAAACCGTTGTGTCGTGTTGATTATTTTTCCCCTCTTGTTTTTCGCTCCTTTTCTTTCCAGCAATTTGTCAGCATATTGGTTTCATGTTCCAGTCTTTAGTCTTGAAGTGACGACCACAACGGTTGTGAATAACACAATAATGTAGGAATGTGCTCTGCTGTAATAATACCTTTCCTTTTAAGTCAAGTGATTACGTCTCAGTATGGAAAATTGCTAAATATTCCCTGATCCCATCATCATCAGTGAATACTTTACAAAGGAGCTTTCAAAGGCAAGCAGGAGATTAAACACCATATGATGATATTATGTGTGGTAGTTTCTACCCATCTATTTCAGTTCTGGCTCTAGGCAACAAAGACCAAATACAAACACTGTGACACAGCTGGTAGAGTTCAGTTGAGGCAGGTCAGGGGTGGACAACCAATCTCAATGTAACATGCAGCTGGTGTGTAGTAGTGGCAGCCAGGAGGAAATCTGTGTAGTGAAGAAGCAAGAAGGACTGTTCAGGTGGGCAGGACTGTGGAGGCTCCGGAGGTTCAGGTTCAGACAGAGAGACAGGTTCAGGCAGTGTCACCACTCAGGAAATGCAGGCTACAAGGGAAGGACCCAAATGCAGACAGACAGGAAGAGTTCAGGGGCGTGGGGGAAGTGGGAGTGTGGCTGGAGGGAGAGGCAGAATGTGACAGACAGACACACAGAGACACTTTCAGGTTCAGAGAGACAGGATCAGGCCCAGAGCCAACATGACAGACAGATTCATGCTCAGATAGAGAGACAGATTGGGGCTCAGACAGACAGATCCATGCTCAGATAGAGAGACAGGTTCAGGCTCAGTGTTTCAGGCTCAGATAGAGAGACAGATTGGGGCTCAGACAGACAGATTCATGCTCAGATAGAGAGACAGGTTCAGGCTCAGTGGTTCAGGCTTAGATAGAGACGCAAGTTAAAATAAAGAGACAAGCTCAGGCTTGGATTTAGAGATGGGTTCAGGTTCAGATAGAGAGATGGGATCATGCCCAAACGAAGAGACAGGTTGGGGCTCAGGCAGACAGATTTATGCTCAGATAGAGAGACAGGTTCAGGCTCGGTGGTTTAGGCTCAGATAGAGATGCAAGTTCAAAAAGAGAGACAAGTTCAGGCTTGGATTTAGAGATGGGTTCAGGTTAAGATAGAGAGATGGGATCATGCCCAAACAAAGAGACAGGTTGGGGCTCAGGCAGACAGATTTGTGCTCAGATAGAGAGACAGGTTCAGGCTCGGTGGTTTAGGCTCAGATAGAGACGCAAGTTCAAAAAGAGAGACAAGTTCAGGCTTGGATTTAGAGACAGGTTCAGGCTCAGACAGAGAGACAAGATCAGGCTCAGACAGAGAAATGGGTTCAGGCTCAGATAGAGAGACAGGATCAGGCTCAGATAGAGGGACAGATTCAGGCACAGACAGAGAGTGGATCAGACAAAAAAGAAGAAACTCTAATAGAGAAACAAGGACTCTGTACTTGAGGGAAAGTGGATTACTGCCCAGCTGGATTGGATGGACAGTGGAGTCTCAGGAGTGCTGGGCAGTTGAGACACTAGAGCACTGAGAAGTGTAATGACTGCAGAATAACTCCCAGAAACCAGTGGAAATATACTTGCATCCAGAGGCTCTACGTTGATTTAAACCCAAAAATATGACAAGCCTACAAATGATCCTTGTGAGACTCAGGGTGGCTTTCTGCTGGGGGACCTGGGAACAAGACAGCAGAAGCTGAGAGGGCATAAACATGACGGCTATCCAAAGGCAGGTAGAGAGCTAGCCTACGTAAGTAAGCAGAGAGTTTGTCAAAAGGGAAACTCTGGAAGTACCAGGTAGGAACTGAAAGATACTGGAGAAGAACTGGAAGACTTGGGATCTGGAGCAGGCCCTAATTTGGCCATAGGACTGAGCTGTTGAGTGGCCAAGATTTCTGCCAGCCCAGGGAGCAACTTGACAAGCCAGGGTTTATAGGACACAAGCTGGAGTGCTATAGAGAGAGCTGTTTCTCTCTGGATGCATTTTGGCAGTAGGTACATAGCCACTCAGTGGTGTAGGTCAAGTCAGCCGCCTCATCCATGGAAAAAGCTGGGTCAGCTGGGTCAGTTTTTGTGGCAGCTGGCAATGAGTAGCTCGACCAAAATGTAGATAGTAATATATATGGTTAAAGACTCTGTTTGCTATGTTTGAATGTCATAAAACAATCTTGCAGTTGGTGATGGGATGGCAGTTCAGAAATCCGACAGGTAGAAGTTTAAGGCAATAACTCAAAAGCTATGGCAACATGGTAGCACAGATGCATTGGCAGCAAAAAGACGTGAACATACATAGAGTAAACAGGTAAGACAGGTAGCTGAATAGTTTAGATGACTGGCAGGAGCTGGAAACTCCAGAAGGACAATGAGTGGAGAAGTAAGGCATGACAAAGTTTGGATGATTATGATTACAAATCCCAGTAAGAGAGTCTGAGGCTGAAGGGGGAGGAGAGAGAGATGATACAGGAGCCACAAAGACACCAACGCCCAGTCACTGTGGTATAAGCAATGTCTCTAAATGTCCCTCTTAAAGTTTGAAGTAGCCTGACTGTCAGAATGAAATAATCAGTAGTTTGGTGGACGATAGATTAGATAATGAAGTGGGAAAAGAAGTCTCCCAGTGAGTCATCAAAAGTGTTTTGGTTTTTAGTATCCATAAAAAGCTTACCCATATAAATCAAAAGAATGACCATAAAAAACATAGAATCTGAACAAATTCTGCAAAAGTTTTCTATCTGAGTGAAGCAGTTATAGTTACAGTTTTACCAGAGACATTTTTCCACACATGAAGTGTGACCACTGTGCTGTTTAAACCTCCTTCGTCTGTCCTGATTCTGTTATCCAGTCTGGGCTAAAAACATTTCAGTCAAGTAACCTTTTAAATAAAAAAGCGCACATTTTGTAATACACTGACTGTGCCTCCTTTGTCCAGGTTGTGGGTTCATCTATGCAGTTGATTGGTGATCACCAGGCAGAGGACCGTCAGCTCATCTCAGATGTGGTGTTGGCTAAGATGAACCAAGCACTGCTTGCCAGGTCATCTAGTGCTTCCCGTTCACCTGCTCGCTCCCCTCAAGGCCAGAAGCCAACTACTGTGCAGCCCCAACAGGTAGAGGCTGTTTGAAATGAAATGCATACCCCACAAAACCTGTGTATTTGTAATGGATTACCTTAAATAAATAGCGACAAAGACCCGTGCTCATACAGCGTTTGCTTCAGTTCTCCTTGTGAGTATAAGGAAAGGCAGAATCCAAGGCGTTAATGTATGAAAATCATTTTGCTGTAGCCTCTCACAGTTCACTGCTGATTATTTACCAGAACCTGCTTTACCATGTTTGCCTTTCTTCCCACTCTCCTTCTCTCTTTGTTTTTCTTTCTATCTTTCTCCCGCCCCCTGAATCTCCCCCAGAGTGCTGCCCTTAAGGAAGGACTGGCAGATCCAAACAGGACCTCAGGCCAGCGCCCTCAACCTCAAGGTTGTCTGAACACTGTTCTCCATTGTAATACAAGTGCTGCCAATGTAGGACCAAAGCATGTCTAGGAAATCAGAATCAGCCGTGGGACAGTGGTACACATTAAGTATCCCTTGTTTGAAAGAAATATAACACCTTCTCTGTTATAATAATCACTGTCATCAGGTAAAAAAAAATTCCCAGAAAAAGTTTTCTAATGTAAGTTAACTGAAAGATTTAACCTGTTAACAAGTAAGCTTTAGAGATGCTGGTAGGCAGATTTGATGGAAGCAGGCTAGCTGTTTCCAGTCTTTGTGCTAAGCTAGGCTAGCTAGACTGCTATCAAACTTCTCTTTTAATTCTTGGCAAGAAAATGAATGTCTATTTCCAAAAATCATTTTTTTTAAGGATGAGAGCAGTTTGTATTTTATTGGCATCCTTATCTCTGATCCTTGAAGGGAACACTGTCAACCGTCATTGCCTTAAAATGAATGCTCTTGAACTGGCTTCAGTGTGATGTTGACAGTGATTACCACTGCAGTAATTTGGGTCCAAGAAAAGAAAAAGCTGTTGAACTTTTATCACTTGAATTAACAAGCAAATGTACAGTGCAGTGCATTTAGCCAGCCTGTTTAGTGTAATTGCAGCCATAGTGTCTGTGTTGGTGTGGTGATATTTGTGCTCAGGGCTGATGTGTTACAACTAAATGTGCCTACTAAAAGCAGTGGTGAAACAGCGCATAACATGGTCAATTAACAAAGCCATTATTATTGGAGTTGTACTGTTTGTGTGAGTGTGTTTGCATGTTTGTTCATTATTTTGAATTCCTTTTGTTGTCATTTTGCATGGATGTGGCAAATGCCCGATACGCTATGTCGTGTTTAATGTATTTGTGCTGGTTGTTTTAAAGATGCCAGCTTTTTATGTTTCACAGGAATTGATAGAAATGAACATGTGCCTACAGTGTTGATATGTGCAGTCGGATTGTAGTTTAATGTATCTGAATCTTACATTAACAATCTTGCCTTTCAAAGACAGTAATCTAACACAAACAGAATCATTGGACAGTGGCAGACATGAGCTTATTTAATAGATGGATGTTCTGTTTATTTTGTATATTAATTTTTAAATGGAAAGTAAGATGCTGCTCATGTTCACTGTTCTGGTCAGCTCAATTGTGTTTCTCTCTTAGTGATTAATGCTTGGCTTTTGGGCTTCCTATCATCTTTAAATCTATTCAGTGTTACGGTGCAATTTATGGTAAACAAATGTATTTTTCCTTCTGTCAAGCAACAAATCCCCCTTAAGATCTGAATGTTTTGTGAATAACTGCTTGGTGTTGTCTTTGGTTGTAACTTAACCTTAATTGTTTTGTGTTATAATACCTGAGACAAAGTGGCTTTATACGGTACACAATACCTATTTTTCTTGGCAATTATAAAACCTAGTTACGTGAGTAATGAAAAGTTTCAAAGAAAATAAGCATCTTTTTCTTTTTCTGCATGAGCATTACTAATTTGCTTGGAACACTGAACCACTGAATTACTGATATTTGATCTTCATACTTCATCTGGCTACGAATATTAGTCATCTTAATCTTTCCTGATTGATATAAAGAGATGTTGTTTAGTGTAAACTCACGTCAGAGGCCTTTCACCTTTATGTTTGTTGACTTGCATTGCTGAACTGCCTCCTCAGATAAAGCAATGACCCAAGTAAAAAATGAATCTAATAGCAGTTAACAAATTGTATGTTTAATTATAAAGTATGTATACTGTCTATATAAACAAACGTAATTTAAAAAGAGAGTAATACAGGGTTTGTGTCCAAGCAAATTCTTATTGTGTCACCCTTTACAAATTGTGTTTGTACAAATGGTATTTTCTTTGGTTTTTATGTGCCGTGAGTCCCAAGCAACCATTGGGATGCTTTATGACAAACTGATAAAACGTAAGACTTATGGCCATTAAGCTGCCTTACAGTAATGTCTGGGATGAATTTTCATGAAGGTCTATCATGAGGTGGTCATATCATGAGATCAAATATGGCCGTATCGTGTCAGTAAAAATCAATTAACTCAACATATAGATTTATATAATAAACATTAATTAATATACAATTTAATAAACATTTTTTAAGAGGCTTTAACATTTAATGGACATACCCAACTGTAATCCTGGAAAGTGGATTATCAGCCATTGGAAACTCATCCCTGCCGAGTCACTCCCTTCTCCGCATGTGTAATCACTTTTGTCTTTTGTGGTGCATGATTGGTTGCTTTGCTGTTTGTGTTTGAGTCACAAGGTTTTTTGAAACCAATATTCTTTCTTGGTTGTATCATCTCTCCTGTTGTTAACTTTCTTTCACTCTCATCCCAGACTCTCCCCTTTACTCTCGTCCTCTCTTCTTGTCACCACACTTCCTCCTCTCACAAATTGTTGTGCATAAAAGCAACTAACACTTGGCATGATAGGCGAGTCACCACACCTCCTCTTAACTGTTGATCTGCTGCCCCCTGCTGGTCATTGCAGTCCAGACATTCAGAGCCTGCTTTGCACCAGTCTGTTCTTGACAGATGAGTTGGTTAGGATATCTATGAATGTGAAAGGTCATTATGTGAATGGGCATGTATGATTCAAGCTCATTATCTGTATCATGTTCTGCTTTGGTCTTTGGTGAGTGTTAAAGGTGCCTGGTTTTCTAACTGCTTCACTAAAACAACAGGTGCTAGATCTAAGATATAATGATGCTTATTCATGTATTTTTCTTTTTTTTTTTTTTTTTGCTTTTCTTTCTTTCTTTCTTTATGTGTTATATAGCAATGGAACTAAAATTTGATACAACTATCTTATGTCAATCTCATAGGTGCACCAGTCAAATCACAGAGTGTAGAGCCATCACCAGAGTCAGCTAAAAGAGCATCTGAACCAGTACCAAAGCCCAGCCAGGCCCAGAAACCTGGTCCAGGTCCAGCTCAGAAACCAGCTCAGGCTCAAAAGCCAAGCCCAGTCCAGAGGGCCACCTCAGTCACGAGGCCTCCTGTGCCGAGGCCTCCCCCAATGACGAGAGCCCCATCCGTCACAAAGTCAGCTCCAGCCCCAGCCAAAGCTTCACCATCATCCCCAGCTAAAGCAGCAGCACCCGCAGCAGCTCCAAGCTCTCCCCCAACCAAAGCAGCAGCAGCAGCAGCAGCAGCAGCAGCAGCAACAGCTCCAGGTTCCCCTCCCACTTCGGCTCCAGCCCCAGCCCCAGCTCCAGCCCCAGCCCCAGCCCCATCCCCGGCTCCAGCCCCAGCCTCAGCTCCTACCACAGAGCAGCCCAAGCCCCAGCCTCAGGGCTCCCCATCCCCAGCTCCTGGCAAACCAAAAGAGTTACCCCCCAAACCCACACCACCTGCAAAGCCCATCCCTCCTGTACGCAGGAATTCAAGGCCGCAGCTCCAGCCAAAGCCACAGACCCCGCCTCCTCCCAAGGCTTCACCTAAACCCCTGCCCGTTGCCCAAGCCCCAGCACCCACTCTGGCCTCAGATACTGCCTCAGCCCCTGCCCCAGCACAGGTTCACTCCCCAGCCAAAGGCATCCAGTCCCCGCCTAATGTCCAATCTCCAGCTAAGGTTCAGCCCCAGGCAAAGCCGACCTCTCCTTCCTCAAACCCTGAGCCTGTCCCTGCTGAGGCAGCTGCGGCCCCCGATGAGGCCCAGGTCCCTGTGGAAGAACAGCCAGCATCCCAGCAAAAGACCCATCCTCTGCTGAAGTAAGAGCCGTATTATCAACACACTGTTGATAATGCAAAGACATGCATTTCAATTGGCCATACTTTGTTTTTATAAAATTAAATATTAAAATTAATTCTTCTGTATCATTAGCAACACTAAAATTATCAAGAATTTCTCTTTTAAAAGTGTTCAATTGGGAACCTGCTGATATATTAATAACAATTTATTAACCCTCCCTATTTAGCATGTGTAAGCAGTATATAAACATGTATTATATTACATTACACATTCTATAATGTAATTGTCAGCTGATATGAGGTATTTTAAGAGTTCATTGATGTATTTGTAAAGAACTTTTACTCCTCCTGTGAAGCATCCATAACGGATTATTGGTATATAAACAAATATGAAATGAGAATATAATATACAGCTGTAATTATGTCTTCAAAGAAGTTATAATTGTTGGATATACTGTACATGAATAATCACTTGTTATGTCCTTTTATCTGCATATCACTACATTACAGTGTGACATAAACTATTTATTATACAAATGGGTGACAATTTAAAGGACAAACAAACACAAAGACTGGCCTCTGTAACTTTATGGGAGAATGGAGAAGCTTTCATCAAACTTTTCAATAACCCCTTGTCCTGTATGAAAGCATCTGCATTTGTCATGTTTCTCCACATTTCAGCTAATTTATCACCTGTCTGTATGTTCATGTACTGCCTATATATGATAAATAGGGTGGGGGTTAAAGTACAGTGTTAACTTTTGGAAAGTTTTTCAAAGATCATTGTACAAATATTGTGTTTGTGACTTTTTGGCCCTCTTGCACATTTCCCCTGTTTGTCTTCCTCCCTTACATTTCCCTCTAACTTACTCATTTATTAACATTCAAATAATCCTCTTCTCCCATTCTTCCTTCATTCCTCCCTGCATCTCATCCTTCCTTCCCTCCCTCCTGCCCCCCTTTGTTTTCCCCCTTCTCTTTTTCCTCCTTACCTTCCCAGTAAATCCCAGTCTCTGACCAATGCCTTCAACGCCTTCAGCGACTCCACTTTCTTCCGCGGGGTCTCGAGCTCCGGAGGTGACGGCCAAGAAGAGGCGAAGGCAGAGACCATTCGCAACCTCCGAAAGTCCTTCGCCAGCCTTTTTTCTGACTAGACACAGCCAAACCGTAGTCAGCCCCTTATTGATTCTGGCCCCCCCATTTTACTATCGGCCAGTGATGACTTGATTGACATTAAATGTGAACCAGTCTGAGATTAAACTTTGTGTGTTAACTGTACTGTATTCCCTCTGTCCCAGACCCTCTTTTCCTCCCTTTTCAGCTTCTCTGTGTGAGTAACAGTGAGGCCTGCTGGGTAGGATATTCAGTGAATGATGCTGTGCCAGAGTAATTGGACTGAAGGAGTTACGTCATTGATATAGAACAGAATAAACTAGAAGAATATAAAAACAAAATGTTTATTTTTCCCAGAGCACACTTTAAGGAAGACTTTCTGAAATATATGAAAAGTATAAAAGTCAAGACTACAGATGGAATGTACATACAGTATATATATTTATATATACACTATATAGATATAAACATATATAACTATAAATGGAGATAAGCTAATAATAGAAAAAAAAAATCCAGTAGCACTTTTCAATTAGCTTTTGTCAGTGACATAACTCTTTCATTCAGTGGCTGGATTCATACACATTTTAAAAGAATAATTAGATATTTGACATTTGATGGTTTCCCCCCACAGTGAATAAATTTTGGTCAGTAAGTGAAAGTATGTGAGTAAAAAAAAACAAAAAAAAAAAACCCTACTTCTTTAATGATTTGTTTCTGTGTAAATCCAGCCGTTGTGTCTTTGGTCCTTGGCTACTGACTGCTGGGCTCATCATTGCTGCCCCTTTTTTGTCTCCAAGCCTTGAAGTTCATTGTTGTGTGAGGGAGTTGGAAATATGTGTATGTTCATCTGTGTTCAATTGTTATGCATGGCTCCTCCAAGTGGCTCGGTGTGACTTTTGGAGCAGAAGGGAGCTCTATCAGTGTTGAGTTTTCCTCCGTTTGCCTCTCTCTCTCTCTCTCTCTCTCTCTCTCTCTCTCTCTCTCTCTCTCTCTCTCTTTCTTTCTCTCTCCTTCTCTTTAGATGTTGTAGCCTTATTGTGAACATGTTTTCAATTCACAGCTACTGTACGTTTTGTTAGCTGTGCAGACCTGGGTCGATTACACCTCGAAATTCATTCATTTACTTCAGCTGTTTGAATGAGTCAACCACTAAGGGCGAGATTGATTTCAACTGTTGTAGTTTTGGGGAGCATTAACGCTGGGTCTAGAGCACCAGACCGAATAAATAATCCTGAAAAGTAACTGAATGCATTTCAAAGAGTACAAAGACTCATGTCTGTAGCTGTGACTGGTGATCTCTTGTTTCACCTCTGTGTAGATCTATCAACAGTATTGTAATTTGTTGATTATTCTCATGAAAAGACGTTGAGACAGTAGTGCAATAACACCTCGACATGACTGTTGAGCGCTGTCACTCTATTATAAATATAAATATGATCATACATACAGGACCTGTGTATCTGTTAAATACCGTATTCTTACATTCCCTTTAAGGTTCCTTTCAGTGACTTCCCAGGTTGCTTTTCACTGCAGTCAGAAGCTGGGTGTCAGATTAATACGCCATATTAAACTCTTGGTTTTTCTGATGAATCCTGTTCGTATTGTGGGACTGAATTGAAGGCAACCTGGAATGAACCCAGTACCTTAACTGGCCCTTTTCAGTTGAGTTGCTGCATTTCGAGGTCATATGAGTAAAAGAAAAAAAAAACATTTAAGAACCGCTTATCAACCTGTCTGCTTATCAACTTCCAGTACTATGTTGCGAGTAAATTATGACATATTGTATTTGTATGTATGTATGTATGTATGTATGTCATCTCAGGAGTTTATTTTTTGTAATATATTGATCAATTTATTTATTTTTTTGAAGCTCCATATTTATGGTACAGTATATATTGTTTGTTTTGTATTGTGTTTTTATTTGTAACGCAATACTGCTTTGCATGATCTGATGTGACTGATTTTTTTTTTCTGTACAGATAAAAGTTAATAAAGATGTGGTTCCATCATTTCACTGATTCAATAAGTAAGATTCATACTGGTGGCTGTGCCTATTGTTTGAGGGACAGTGTTTCATTGAGAAAGAGGCACTGCATCAATTTCAGACAGTGATCAGTCATATTCATCATTGGAGGAAATACTCAGCCTGTGTAAGCAGTTGCATAATGTCTTCTGTGGAAAAACAACCCCCTGATGATGTCAACAGGGTTAGGCTCGAAGACCACAAACTTTTAACAGAGAGTCTGTGTTACAAACTGAGGGCATGGAAATATATGGGTGCTTACCAAGCAGGGAAGGTCTAACAAAGAGATTATATTTAGTGACATTATGGGAAATGTAATGACTCAGTGTTTTTGGAGACATTTTAGGGACAAAGATCTACCACATCTTAGCCACTGCTGATTGCTTCCTGAATACTTTTTCATATAGCAAATACATGTAGCTGCTACTGATGCTAAAAACTAGTATGTCAAAAAACATATTTAGAGATAAGAAGCATCTTATAGGAGCTACTAAAAAGTAATACAGTCCCAAAAAAGTATAATTCAGATATGTGAATGCTCAGCTAAACTAAATTATGCCATTATTCTACCAATTACAACATGTTTTTTAAGATACACTGAAATATACAGTAGATCTACAGTTATGTCACAAAAGTACTTAAGTCCTATTGAGACCAGGTAAGTTTAATGTAATAAAAAAAACAATAACTGACATAATGATCCCTCACAACATGTTTTATGATTTTGAAATAATTTGGTTTCTCTGTATTAAGTAGAAGAGTAGAAATTGGAGACAAGGAGTACTGAATCTCTCCGACACTTGTGATTTAGGGCTTTACAAAACTGACGTGACTTTATTTGAAAACTGTCACACCATTTGCTTTGGCCATGTTAAAAACTGCTCAACTATACTGTAGGAGGTTGACTGACCCAGCCCTGCAATCTAGAAGGAGAAACCAGGTTTAAAACATTAACTGAACTTCCACTGAATGCTTTATTGAGAGTTCGCAAGCAGTATAAGGTCAGTGGCAGCTCTGTTTGTTCTGTTTTCTTGCTCAAGGACACATCAGCAGCGCAGGGGGGTGATGCCTGAATAAAACCTTGAAAATGTTCCTCCAGCTGAAAAACAGTCTATAGAACTACGAAGGCATCCATGACTTTGTAATCAGAGGATGGTCTTGAACCAATTAATGATGTATTCTCTCCCACATTTGGCTGCCATGTCCTTGTGACAGATTTAACTTACTTGCCATATAGGATGTATATTTAATTAATATTATAGAAGGGAACAAAAGGACAACATACTAACAAAACCTACCACAAATATAAAAACATGCAAGAATATAAGTTTTGAAGGAGGAACGGGTTGAACTACCTGTGCTGAGCCAGCAGATGGCACTATATACATGTGGAAGTTTTGTGAGTCTATTTCTCATCTGCAAAGATTCGGGGTTAGAGATGTTTTGTATTTGTTGTACAGCATCAGAATGCGTGTGATGGCCAACTGGCTCATTTGGTTGAGTCTTGTTTGCTCTTCTCTTGCAGGTTCATGTAGGTTCAGGTATGTTGTGGTTGGGCTGACTGGGAGCACCTGGGCCCAGTGCTCCCAGTAGTTATAAAAGCTGCCACTTTAGGCCTCTGGAGAAACTCTCTTCATGCACTTTGTTTGGGTCCTTTATCACTTTTCCAACACCTGCGCACCATACTTCCCACACATCCACTCACTTACACCACTGACTGTGCTGCTGTCTACATCTCGTCTCTCTTTGCAATTTATGTTTTTGTTAATAAATATAGTAAAAATGCATTTTTTGGTGTTTCTTCCTTTATTTGCAGCAGCCTTTGGAACCAGTTATGACAATATGACAGATCAATGTGACAGCTTTCACTCAAAAACTATCACTGATGTCAATAAGGACAAATAATTATTATTATAAGGTGTTGATAGAGAAAGTGAAGACGGTACTGCTCAGCTCTCACATTGTCAGTGTCATACACTGCCTTGCTCAAAACTCATATAAATCAAGACTTAACATCAATCTACTCTACTCGGTACATCACAGACATTTTTTTCTTGATGCCTACGTGTTTTTTTTCTACCTTCTTTCTCATGTTTTCCTTCTCAAATTCTTTCATGTCCTACCTTTCTCACTTTTGTCACATTTAAATAAAGCGGAGGGGGAGGGGAAAATGGGCTCTTTCAATATGTACCAGTAACAGTTTTACATCTTTTACATGAACCACATAATTTACATGAGAAAAAAGACTTTCTTTATTGTATAAACAGGGAAGCAGTATAAGCAAACAGTGTGTATAGGTGTGTGTGTGTGTGTGTGTGTGTGTGTGTGTGTGTGTGTGTGTGTGTGTGTGTGTGTGTGTGTGTGTTTTTTTTTTTTATATTATTATTTAGTAAACTATTAACAAATTGAAAAGGTTTAAGAGATTTTAAAACATCTTGTATTCTTTTAATTGTAAATCAGATTGATAGAACCATTCCTCCAACAACGCATGCCATTACAAATGACGTGAAACACAGATACTCTCGCACTCTTTGTACACACAAAAGTATAACAAACAGGAAAAATGCTCTTGGTTCTTGGTCCATGGGACAACCAGTCAGTGGAGATCTGTGGGAACGTCTCCATCACATTGCTCATAGGGACATGGACGTGGGCGGTTAACGCACCAAAGCAAGCCTATACTAGCCAAACCCTGTTTGTCTTGGTGCTCATCCCACCCTGCTGGAGCCACACTGAGAGCAAGGGAGTATGGACATGAGGAGGAAGGACCAATCATTACACTGGTTAAACACTATAATATTTAGATTTAGTTCATATAACATTAATATTTAGATTTAGTTCATTTAACATCCAGCATGTTTGAGGATGGAGGGAAAAATCAAGCCATTTTGGCCTGTTTCCTGGTGTCAAGCACCACCACAGATGCCTATTTCAACAGATCAGTTTTGAATAGTTTGCTCTCCTCCTAGGCCTGAAAAATGACAGGTCAGTTACACTTTATAATAATTATGGAGTCATGACAGTGTAGGAGAGTCTTGTAAAGATACACAAGCACTTTGATGATGAACATTTTCAGATACCAGAGCTCCAGTCCCCTGGGACTCAACTGTATCAACAATCAGAAAATATTGCTTCATTTTGTTTGTGACAGCAAAACTCTCAAGGGCGTCGTTTGTTTTAGTTCAGCATAAAGAAATTCTGCGTGGGGAGGACTGTTGTGCATGTGAGAGAGAGAACCATAAAATGTGTGCACGTGTGTGTAGGTCTGTAAATAAGCAAAGTGTGCCAGCTGTCTTAGTTCACAGTATCAAGTTAAGATAGATCAAAGGCATCTAAAATCAAGCTGAATGCTGCACAGTGAAAGTAGCATAACTGAACTACAACTACATTTAGCTGTTTTTAAAACAGCAAGCACACAGACGCTTCTGAACAGTGAGCAACAACGTTACATGTCTTTTGTGTTTCAATACAGTACAAACAAGTTGAACACAGGAGTTAAACTTTGGATTGATTTTTGAGAAGCATCACTGACAAATATCTGTTCATGCGTTTAATTTTTTTTTACAATGAATTCTGCTACACAATCAGTCATTTGTTCTTGATTGTGTCTGAAATGTTTGGGCTCCTAAGGATATTTTTACTATTTGAAACTTTAGGTTGCATCGATGATTACTTAAGTTCAAAAGGTGGAGCCTGAATTCATGTTCAGAATACATTTACCGATATCTCTTTGTGGCAAATCAAATGACACATTCACTGCCAACAACAGGTCAGAGAATATAATAAGGGCATTAACCTGCATGACATTTAATAACAGAGGTCTCTGTAGTGTATTAAATAATATGGCCTGTTCTTCTTTAAATAAATTCCTGCATAACAATGAATGCAAATTATGACTTACATAAATTCTAACTGAGTCCTTTCACTTACATTTAGGAGCTGCATTACTGGAGCAGACAGAAGGTCAGCGTCTGGTCAAGTGACACTGACAAAAAATAGGAACATTTATTTCTTCATCACTGAACTTTCTGGTCTTGGAAATGTTTCTTCGCCAGGCTGCTCAGCTGCAGGCTGCATGTCTGTGTGTGCTACCAGAAACCAAATCTGACCACAATCTGTCAGCTTGTCAGAAGAACACTAGCAGGGCTCATGTGATGCCAGTATGAACAACCTCGCAGTTTCATGTTTTAGCAAACGTTTAGCAACACTTACATTTTACGTGACATGAGTAGGGTCAATGTTGAATATTTAAACATGCCATATTCTGAAAAATATTTATTTTTTTCATCTCACGTGACACGATAAAATTACATTAAACCACCCAACACCTTGAAATAACGAGATGTGATTTTAAGATAACTGGGTTGATAAACAATGTGAGGTACCACGGCTGGTTTCAGCCAACAGAGATAGTAAATAGCTTGTAGATTTCAGCGTCTGGTTTAGGGTTAAAAATAGAATGAGGTTTAGGTTGGGGTTAGTTTAAGGTCCAACCTACAGAGCTTAAAGAGAGTCTCTAGAGATGCAGCACAAAGGCAAATTACTATGTGGGGTGCATCTATTTCTGCATCTAATAGTATAAGAGTTTAAATAGTTGACTGTCCATTTGACATTGTATGCAATAATCTGCACAGGAGATTACAATTTAGAATAATGTCTTTCTGGGTGAATTTCTAAATGACTTTTTATAAAATTTTATACTCAGTCTATCACTTATTTCTGAAAACATCACCAGCCTCTCCTCAACTAAACAAACCATTACTTCATAAACACATTGCTTGATGGCAGATTTAACCGCAGAGTTTATGTCTTCACTGTTGCTGTCTTTCAACAACAGCAGCGTGTGCGTGTAAACGTGATTGTGATACCAGACGTGTGACTGTTAATAGTCATCATTAGCCCACTAATTGACTAAGAGGGGGGTAACCCTGCAATCAGTCAGCTTACAAAACTTGCTGTTACTCACTGGCAGGTAATGGCTTAAAGGAATAGTTCCAACATCTTGGGGAATTGCATTTATTTGCTTTTCTTGCTGGGAGTTTTAGCCAGGTGAGATATCACAGGTGTGAGGAAACAGCTAAGCCTGGCTTCGTCCAGCGGTAGAAAAATCGATGAATCTCGCTCACCAACAACTGTAAAGCTCACCAATTAAATGGTTACCTATATTTAGTTTTTTTTTTTTTTTTTTGGTCCAAACAAAAACTAAAAATGCTAAAAGTTAGCATAACTTTCTGGAGAATACCTTTAAAACCACAACTGATATTTTTTGGGTTTTTTTGTACAGATTAAACAAAAGAGATATAATGTGGTTATATATGCTCGCTCACAGCCCCTTTTAAGAGCAAGAAGAAGAGAAAGCTAATGAGCATTACTCAAAATAAATTAATTTTGAAAAAAAAACCAATAATAATAATAATAATAATTTTCTTCAACTCATCCCCTTTAAAAAACATTTTCCCAAAAAGTTATAGCTAAAAGGTAATTTGATGCCTCTGATTCCCGGGCGGTGGTGTCGAGAGGAGGGAGGAGGAGGAGGAGAGAGAGGCAGGCAGACACCGACCGCAGCAGCAGCAGCAGCAGCAGCAGCATGACCAGGAACCTCCACAGCGAGCAGACCTGACCGCTCTGACACTGCGCTCCCCGTGGAAAGCGACCAGACCCCAGCCACGGTCTCTCCCCACCTTCCTACCCTCCCTCCCCAAAAGGCTTTCTCACACTTTAAACCACCGGAGAAGACGCTCCAAACTTGAAGAAGCAGAGCGGGCTGTGTCTGCTGTTCGCTTTAAAAACACTGATCAGGTCAGTCACCTTCCGCTCGGGGTTTTGCAGTTTTAGCTGTGAGTGTTGTGGCTGCTGCTTGGATGACAACGCGCTGAAAGCAAAAACACCTTTAAAAGTCATTAAATCCTTTAACAGTGAGTCTGATTTTTTAAAGAATACAGGATATAACAGTCGTCCACTCCTATTAAATAGTTTGAATAGAATTAGTAAATAATTCAGCTTGTGTTTTGTGGGAAGTTGTTGAAACTGAGACTGTTGTAAATGATCCATGCTTGTCAAGAGTATTGAGACTTCAGGTGGACTCTTAACTCTTTTTTTTTGGAGTGTGACTGGCTACTGATGGGGTGGGTGGTGATGGTAAGGGTGGGGGTGCGGTCACAGGACTGACAACTGGCACACAGTCAGGTGTTGGTCCATAGTGTGTCTGCGGGCCACAGGGTGAGTGTGAGTTTGACATGCAAACACCAGGCAGAGATTTTAACCATCAAAGTGATCATAACTTCTCAGGTGAGTACAAGTGAGTGTTTGTGTCTCACTGGGTTCATAATGCTGAGCTGGATTACACAGGGGACTCCATCAGAGGGGGGCAGATTTGTGTGAATACATTTTAAAAATGTTATTCTATATATTCTTCTCTCATGTCATGGTCTTCTGTGTCATGTGAGGATTTTAGATGTTGCACAACGTTGAGGCAGTTCTGTGTTTTTGAATTGAGTGGAAAATCTTGGTCATGACTCAGCAATAATGTGGACACAAGCGCAGGGGCCAATGCTGACTTCTCTTCTGAGGTTTGCTGTGTGGCTCTGTGGTAGCTGATGTAAACCAGCCTAATGTTGTTTTATTATGATGTAATAGTGGCACACACAAACTGATAAGTTTGTTGTACAAGACTCGGACTGTCACTGCCAAGAGTGCGTTTGGTTGTTAACCTTATCGTCCATCACTTTGTATGATCTTCATGTCAATAATCTGATAGCACTTTGAGCACTGAGGGAAAACCTATTATTGAGAATTATTTTGCAACTCTAAAATAAATGTTTTTACATATTTAAATCAATCTAAGCTTTGCTCTTTATACTCATAAATATTAAGGGACAATTCAGACGTTAACATTACTGCAGACCATTTAAAGTATGTTGTCTACCTTTCAGGCAACCACTAGTTTCCAATTTTTTCATTATTCTATTTAATAAATAACTTGCAGGGATTTAAATTTAAATTTGCTTGTCAAATGTCCCTTACAATTACGTCTTTTTATTTTAGTCACACCTCATATTATTGAGGTGATGCAGTTGAGGACACTTCATTATCACATTTGATACATCTTAATGCAAAGTGGTCTGTGATAGATCTGTCTGTTTAAAGTTAATTTAGAGTTTCAGCTATATAACAGTGTATTGACAGCAACTGAAACCTATTGCTGCCTGAAAGACAGGAAATCAACCTACAGCAGCTTTGGAAAATAGCTGCCAGTTACGTAAAGTACATATCGTTGGTAATAAATTAACTTAAACATGCCAAACTATCTGTGTGGTCTTTGCAAGTCATGCTGTTATGTCTCCTAATACTGCTGACAGCTCTGTAAAAGAAAAATAGCATCATTATATCATAATACAGAAAACAGAAAAGTCAGATAAACAACACAAACAACAAAAAGTCAGATAAACAACAGGCAACAGACAGTAAGACGTTTTTCTTATAAGCCAACCAGAAAATATATGACTAAAAAAGAGAGAAAGTCATAGAGAACTGTTTATTCGCACTTCTTGAAAATACTAAGAGTTACATATTTTTACGGATAATCCTGTAATTAATGAGTTACAGGGACATTACTCATCTGACTGATGATAAAAATATATAAACTATGGGGCATTTATCAGAATATCACATGTTCTGGGCGCCCGGTTAGCTCAGTCGGTAGAGCTGGCAGCCAAATACGGAGTTGCTGCAGCAGCCTGGGTTCGAATCCAACCTGTGGCCCTTTGCTGCGCGTCATCCCCTCTCTCTCCACCCACCTTTCCTGTCTCTCTACAGCTGTCTCTATAAAAATAAAGCCAACAAAAGGCCAAAAAACTTAAACTTAAAAAAAAAAAAAAAAGAATATCACAAGTTTATAAAAGGTTAAAATGTCATCGCTGATGTGGCATGGCTATTTTAAAGCAGGATAACCTATTATTTGTTTAAGGTTGAGAAATAATATCTATTTTAGAGAAGTTATAAAAGGTCATTTCACTGATTAACAATGCTCGGCCAGATTGATGTCATACTTTCCCTTTCACATCATGTTCATAATTTTGTTTGGAATTTATGTGGCATTGGGCATAATTGTTTGGTGTTTGTGTTTCAAGTGTCCAGCTGTTTGAGTCTTTGATCTTTTATGTACAGAATGTAGCACACAAATGGATTTAAATACATCAGATTCAAGAAACTTAAATCAGTCACAGGAAAACACATCACAACACATCTTGTACGTCTTGTAATCTCAGCATGAGTTGCTTTAAGTCTGACTGACTGAGTGTGTTGATACAGCAGCAGTCAGAGACTAAGTGCTTATCATGTTATATAATTCCTAAAGGGAGGTGTGTACGTATGTGTATATGTGTGTGCACAACTGAGACAGATTTGGACTTTGCTCTGTTCTCATAAATGAAAAGGAGTGTCTCATGTTTATGTTGTCTCGCACTTGTTTGATTCCATGCAAACAGCATACTTCCACACAGAGCTTTTATATGAGTCAGTGTAAAGACGCCTCCATACCAGGATTCGTTTTTTGACAATCTGTGTTAATTAAAAATACCGGAAGCATTCAGTCTTCTGAGAAGTTGTTTTCAGTGGCTTTAAAACGTTATATATGAAACCTCTGTAAGAGCTAAACATAATCACTGCATTAAGGGAGGAAGGTGTTTAGTGGTGCATTTGTATCTGTATAAAAATACAGACAAAAAGAGACTGACTGCTCCGGTTCAGCCCACAGACAGTTACCCACTTTGGCCTCTACACCACCAACATCCTGGTTTGTTTACTATATTTCAGCTTTACTTATTGTTATTGTAAACATTTTCAAAAAGGCCACCTTTGATTCGATCTTATCAGATGACATTGAGACCATGTTGACACAGTTTAGCCTTAAGGTCATCAATTTGCTTTGTTTTTTTAAATTAGGTGTAATTATTAACTTCAAGGCTAAACATTTTCACCATTTACTACTTACGGCAACTTTTTTTGATGCAGAATATGATTTATTTTGACATCAGACAAAGCTTGGAACAGGAGCAGGTGGTTTGCTGATGAAACATTAAGCTCTATTGTTAATCTTGTCTACATCATACTTAGTCAAACCACAGTATCCGCTCTTCTGTACTGTACAATCTATATTGTAATTAATGAGGAGCGGGATGTAGACTAGCAGCATATTTTTAGCAATGTGATAATTTTTTGCAGTATCTGGCACCTAGGAAGTGACTCATGTTAATGGCAACATCAAAGCAAGTTTTCAGTTCTTACATTTTGTACACTTTGCTTTTAATGTAAGGCACTTGGGCCATGTCTACACATTGTGAAATAATTTTAAATAATCAATCGTTTATATCTAACTTTGTCTCTCAACCACGCTTACAGTAATTTTCTACACACAAAGACTGAAAATCAAAAGCCAATTTTCTAATGCCCCCACAAAAGTAAGATGTTATTTCTGTTTTTTTCATTTTTACTTGAAAATGAAAAAAGATTTGATTGTCAAAACAGTCTCTGATTCATTTCATGTCAATCATCTAACCGGCTTTTTGACAACGTGAGTGTGATCCTTTGACCAGTTGTTCTTGTTTTGTCCTGTCTTTCATGTAGCACATTGTTTTCAGAGCTTAGCCACTTAGTTACTTTAGTAAGTTGCCTGCAATTATATCGTAACAGAAAGTAATGATGGCCAAACTCACAAAAATAGGAGCCAAGTTTGAATAAACCTTTAATTTTTTATATTAGTACTCGGTTGGTAATCCACCTGCGCACACACATAGTGTGCATACACTAATATGAGGAGTTTTCTGCGCCAGTGCACTTTAACATAGATATTATTCAACAGACACTAGGGATATCTAGCAACCTTTACCCTAATTTCCAGTTTAGAAAGATGCGGTGGCAAACAGCAGCTCCTTAGGTCAAAACCTCGGTCTCTAGTGGGAACTTAAGACTGACTCAGACCCCAGACCGTGGGTTCACTGGCTTTGGCACTGCTTGAGACATCACCAGTTCAGGTCTTGCTAAGGATGATATATGACGTATGCAATCCGCCCCCTCGGTTTGAAATTGGCTAATAATGGTTAAATGCCGAAGGATCTTAGAAATAAAACAGGAACAAGGATTGCCATCAAGGACTGCTTTCCTTCTTTGTGGAAAATGTTTTGCCTTTTTTTTGCGATCTTTAACTATTCTATTATGAATATTTGAATTGCCTATAAACCTGTCCACCTTAGTTTCTATTGCTACACCTGTCACACTTTCCTTTCTCAAATGGCACATATGAAGGTTATGATGATAGTGGCGCAGATGTACCTCTTCAAAACTCATAATGTTTGAAACAGTGGTCCTTGATTTCAGATAGGCAGACTAGAACCCCCCCAAATTCCAACTCTTGGCCTTGGGATTAGCTAGGTTGCTAATGACGATGGCAGTTCACATTACAGCAGACAGAGATGCTGTTTAATCCTTACATTCATGTGAATTTGGTTTTGGAAAGGCTAAAAAAGACACCACCCTCTAAACTCTTTAAATGCTCAGTATTCCTCTCATTACAGCCCATGCACAACATGTTGAACGTGTGGAGAAAGCTAAAGCTTGACGGGCCTGCTGTGCCTAGTTGGACAATCGCAGCGGGGGGGTTAGCAAGGAGTCAATTGTTGAGCCAACTCTGACACTTTTTTTTGCTCAGTTCAAACCTTTGTTGAACCTTCCTTTTTTACCGACAATTTAAAATCAGTTCCTTTATTGCGTACACCTTTCCTGGTACACGTGTTTACAGTACGTTCTGTGAATGAGACTCACGTCATGTGTTGTTTTGTTATTATCCTGCTAAACAGCAACTGAAGGCAGCACACTCCCGTCTTTTCCTCTCCACTTCGAGGAACAGGGCACAACCTTTCCCACATTGTACATCTCCCTCTTCCTACCGTGTTGCCCTCCTCTCACTCCCTGTAGTTTAGCTATAAATCTTTGCCGTTGTGATTTCTCACTTGACTCCCACAGCTGAGATCACGCTCTTTTAAAGTGATCATTAACCTGTGTGACGTCATCATGAATGGAAATTGTATAGATTGACTCTTCTGTGTATCTCTGTGTCTCTTCTCTCTGTCATCCTCCTTTCTAACCATAGTATCCTGTTTTCAATGCAACACCATTCAGGTGTGTGTTTGTGTGTGTCAGTGTGTGGGACAAAGATATATACATTTGGATTTGGTCCTCCTGTCATAAATGGAAGGAGTGCCCTGAACCTGCTGTGCACACATGTCTTCATA